AAAGCACCGCCAGCATTCAAAAGTGACCAAAACATCAGCCAGGAAGCATAGGAACTGAGAAGTGGTCTGTGGTCACCACCTGCAAACCAGTCCTTTATTGGGGGTGTCTTGCTAATTGCCTATAATTTCCACCTGTTGTCTATTCCATTTGCACAACAGCATGTGACATTTATTGTCAATCAGTGTTGCTTCCTAAGTGGACAGTTTGATTTCACAGAAGTGTGATTGACTTGGAGTTACATTGTGTTGTTTAAGTGTTCCCTTTATTTTTTTTAGCAGTGTATTTGCAAACATTTCTAAAAACCTGTTTTTGCTTTGTCATTATGTAGTATTGATGAGGGATTTTTTTTTTTTTTCATTTTAGAATAAGGCTGTAACATAACAAAATGTGGAAAAAGTCAAGGGGTCTGAATACTGAATTTACATGGTTGAGTGATTCATGTAAATCGGGGCAGAGTGATGTGAAATGTAACTTGTGAATAAGTGTATTACACTTATTTCTAGATTAAATCAGTGTTTCATCTAGAAATACATGTTTCACATTGCAATACATGTTCATATAAAGTAATTGCCTTTCACAATGCAATGCTCACATTACTTTTGATATGATTCTCTTGTCTTTTGTTAAAATACATTTTACTATTACTTAACCCAACTGCTCTTAATTAATGATCACTTAAACGTTTGGTAAACCTATAGATTTTACATGTAAACTGGTTTGTCTACTACAGATTTTGAGAACTATATACTGAAAATGTATGCCTGTAAAGTAGAAACATAACAATTATGATATAAACTCGAATGTACTACTTTGATGATGACTATTATGATTTTACTTCACATTAAGTTTTTTTTTCTTCAGATATTGACAAGATCAGAGATGTACTGTATGTTACCAATCAAATCAAATCAAAGTGTATTGGTTGGGTACACAGATTAGCAGATGTTACAGCAGGTGCAGCAAAATGATTGTGTTTCTAGCTCCTACAGTGCAGTAATCCAATATCAATACAATACCAATTATCCAGAAAGTCCCAAACAAGAAAGAAATGCATCCCCTATACAGTAAACATGTATCCAAAATGAAGTTGCTGGGGTCTTTTTAATGGGGGTGGGGGTTCACACTTCTTTATTAAAATTGTATTGGCCAATACAGTACTGTAATACATTTTGGTATGTGACCCCAGTGGGAATCAAACCCACAACTCTGGGGTTGCTAGTGCCATGCTCTTATGAAATGAGACACGTACAGGACCACTACAATAAATACGTACAATACAATACTGTAAAATGCAATACCATTACTATACAGGTGGATGATCCCCATGAGCGTACTACCCTCCTTCAGGCCATGGATGAGGCATGCAATGACTTCAATCCAGACCTATGTCAGGCTTGGATTCGCCATGCTAAAAGGTTTTTCCCCAGGTGCATGAAAAATTAGGATATTTACTGCGATTTCGATGAGAACCTATGGCCAAATGCTCAAGACAGGCTTGATGCAAACTAGTGCCTGCTAAACATTATGTTTCTTTCATTTGATTACATTGTGAAATATGTTTTCAATGATCACACATGGGATAGAAATTATGAAAATGTGATGTTCAGACAATTTTAATGGGTAGTGCAACTGTATTGCCTAATGTGAAAAAAGTGTAATGTTCTGTAATTTGCAGTACTGTAGCATACTAAATTCAAATGGCAATTTTGAAACATGTATCTTATATTTTTTTGCTATTGGATTAACTGGGTTGTTAAAATAACTAAATTGAGAAGATATCATTATGTTGTGTTTTGGTAATTAAACCAATGTACTCATTATAAACTTATATTTTGGATCAATGGTTGTGTCATGAAAGATGTCTACAAACAAAATGCACAATGAAAGGTTTTGAATGTAAGACTGGCTGGTGTTACCAGTTTGGAGTTTTGTACTATGAGTTTTGAAAATTCACCACATACTTGTGAAAACGGTACCAAAGTGATAAAAATAAATTGTAGGAAAGCTCTGTCAGTATTAACCGCTGTTCCAGAGAGAGCAAGACTCTCTTTTTCTCCCCAATTGGTAGTTACAGTCTTGTCCCATCGCTGCAACTCCCCTAAGGACTCGGGAGAGGCGAAGGTCAAGAGCCATGCGTCCTCCGAAACACAACCCTGCCAAGACGCACTGCTTCTTGACACACTGCTCGCTTAACCCGGAAGCCAGACGCACCAATGTGTCAGAGGAAACACTGTCCAGCTGGCGACCAAAGTCAGCTTGCAGGCGCCCAGCCCACCACAAGGAGTCGCTAGAGCGACGGCACTGGGTCAATTGTGTGCCGCCTCATGGGTCTCCCGGTCACGGCCGGCTGTGACACAGCCTGGGATCAAACCCGGGCGATGCAGTGCCTTAGAACGTTGCGCCACTCGGGAGGCCAGGACCGAGCATGTCTAACAGCGCTCTCTGCTGTAACATGTGATTCCTGGAAACTCTCCTATGGGTGTGGATATGTCTCTTTCTCTCTCGTTTGCTCTCTCTTTCTCTCTCATTCAATCACCACATCTAGGATTGTTTCAGTGTGCCAGCTCTCTGCAGTGACTTCTATTGGCTTGAAATGGTATTACAGAGAGAAACAATACATTTACATTTACATTTTAGTACCTAACTAACAATACAGTGATGTCCATAATAAATAAGTCATTTATTTGTACAGTGCTAACACTCTCTCCATCCCTTTCTTACCTTCTCCCGCTGTTTAGCCTTCATCCTCTCATACTCATTTTCCTCTGCCTGTCTCCGTTGCCGGTCCATCTCCTCTTTTCTCAGCTTAACACACACAACACAAGTAGACAACTTGCTCATACTGTCTGTTAAAGGCTATTTAGAAGGCATCATCAAAAGATGAGCAGAATGTGAGTGTTTTACATGCCATGCACATTGCACAAGTTGGATGGTATATGCAATATCTTGGGACATAATCTAATAAGTAAGTCTCTACTTTAAAATGTGACGATGGAGTACCTGTTTCTGCAGTTTAGCTTGGCGTAACTCCATCAGCTGCCTCTCCCTGGCCTCAGCCAATGACACAGCACCACCTTATAGAGATACATGTATTAGAGGATGATATTATTAATGTGTGCGTGTGTGTGTGGAAAGAAATGACCAACTGCAGACATTTTGTTGGTCCTCACAAGGTCAAATACTATTTCTAGGGAGTGTATGGTTAAGGTTAGAATTAGTGTTAGTGTTAGGGTTAGAATTAGGTTTAGGTTTAGGGTTAGGGTTAGAGTTAGGAGATAGGGTTATGTTTAGGGTTAAGGTTAGGTTTTTGGGTTAAGGTTAGGGTTAGGGTTAAGGTTAAGGTTAGGGTTAGGGTAAGGGTTGGGTTTAGGGTTAGGGGTTAGGGAAAATAGTATTTTCAATGGAACTGAATTGTATGTCCCCACAAGATTAGCTGTACAAGATTGTGTGTGTGTGTGTGTGTGTGTGTGTACCTAGCTTCTCTGGGGCGATTTGGACAGGGCCAGGTCTGTTTACTTCCTTCCATCTCTGTAAGTCCTCCTCTTCTTTCTGAACCACTGCAGGGTTAGACAGCAGGGTGAGTATATTACAATATTTTATTACTACTACTATTACCAGTAACAAGACTAGAGGGAGGGATGGAGGGAAGGAAGGAGGGGTAATAGGTAATAGAGGTATAGATGGAGGGGTGGAGGGAGGGATAGATGGAGAGATATCATAACAATGCTATAATGAGATTTACTCATGTGTAGTTTACTCCGTCAACATTCAATGGGTGGTATCATGGTGAACCCATCTGAACTGAGTGAGAGAGAGGAGAGAGAGGGAAATGTAAATGCCTCCCCCTACTTAAACATTTAATAAGCCTCATAATTTTCTGTGCCAAGGGGGTTTACCAGACTAGAGGTGTGGTACTGAAACTCATTAATGCATGCACACACTATTCTTGTACACCCAAAAATAACAAAAACGTTTGTCCGTGTGCACATGCGTGCATCTATCCCTTCCCGGTCACGGGAACCAGAAATACTGGAATATTATGACCAGAACAGAGGATGAAACGAAACTGAAACTTACAGTATGCGGGAATATAATGTTGTATACCTATTTAATATAATAATTTATATTCCATAATTTTACATAAGACTACCCTCGCCTGACACATTTTCCGCCCTTTTTTTGATACTGCAGTTGAAGAAGATAATATTATATCCATAATATCCCGAATGACTATTGAATGTCCCCTCGAAACATTTTAAAACATAGTTATCTTACTGAATAAGTAAATAATGAAGATAAATGTATTTTGGCTAGCCTGCTCACTATCGAGGCTGAGTTGGATCCTGCTGTGTTTGTGGGTCGGTGTTTGCGTTGTCAGGTGGGTTAGCGTTGGCATCAGGGTTGGCATCACCGGGTCCGTGCCATGAATTATTTTCCGACTGTCTATTTGTTCTCTGATTAGCACCTGAATTGGTATAATTGATTATATTATTCCTATAATACCCCTGGTCGTCCATGCCAGCCTATATCCTACTGACTTGTCTTGTCAGTAAACACCGGTGTATTTATTGGACGTCCCCTGTGGCAAACCGGTGTATTGGAAACTTCTCTATCCAAAAACGAGCATCACCCATAGACAGCCCAACCCGCTATGAAAGTTTATCATTATTTTTTATTTTTTATTTTACAACGGAAGCATAATCGTAAAAAATATGACAATTGGGTAATATATATATTACTGAAGCCTAATTAAAACTTTTGAAAATCAATGTTTGGCAAGATACAAATTCCCTAGGAGCAAATAAAAATGTATTAGGCTACTGCCATCTATGCGAATTATCCCACTATGTCACCTGTATATTTTATAACATTTAACTTGTTTGTTTTTATGTGGTTCATTGATTTATTTACATTTAGCAGATTTCCACAATCTTGCGCAAGGTAGATCACCTGTTCATTCTGTATTACGAAATGGTTTTTCAATTGACTCTGGTTGTCCCCTCAGACGCTCCATAGTTGTGTCCTTCAAGTGACAGCGGCAGCATGGCGAATGCTGGAAGCAGGGTATCTGTTGAAGGCGAAACTATGCGATACACTGAATACAATTCTCAATCTCAAATCAGGAGCGAAACAGAAATCGACAAAAGACTTGTAAGTATATACGTTCTTTTGTTGTTTGATTTTTTGGTGGATAACAAGCTCTGGTTATTACACAAGCCTGCAGCTAAGCTAGCTAGCTAATGCCAGAACCTTCTATTGACTAGCAATTAGCTGGTGGATAGCTACAGTACTAGCAACAGAGAGCAAATGTTGGTTCCCCATCACAGACAACAATGTGATCAAGGTTGTGCATTCACGGTGATGAATCTAGCAATCGCCAGTAAGTTGAATGTCATGTAACATACTGTGATTTAATCAGCCGGCTGAGTGACTCAGGCTTGCAAAGAAAACAGCGTTATTTTTTTTTTCCGTTGTTGTTGTTGACCGATGGGAAAAGTACCCAATTGTCATACATGAGTAAAAGTCAAGATACCTTAATAGAAAATGACTCAAGTAAAATTGAAAGTCACCCGGTAAAATTCTACTTGAGGAAAAGTATTTGGTTTTAAATATACTTAAGTATATTTTAGCAATTACATTTACTTTTGATACTTAAGTATCAAAAGTAAAAGTATAAATCATTTCAAATTCCTTATATTAAGCAAACCAGACGGAACCATTTTTCTTTTTTAAAATTGTATTTACGGATAGCCAGGGGCACACTCCCAACAGCAACACTCAGACATAATTAACAAACGAAGCATGTGTGTTTAGTTTGTCCGCCAGATCAGAGGCAGTAGGGATGACCAGGATGTTCTCTTGAGAAGTGCGTGAATTGAACCATTTTCCAGTCCTGCTAAGCATTTAAAAAAATTGTAACGAATACTTTTGGGTATCAGGCAAAATGTATGGAGTAAAAAGTACATGATTTTCTTTAGGAATGTAGTGAAGTAAAAGTTGTCAGAAATATAAATAGTAAAGTACAGATACCCTAAAAAAACTACTTAAGTAGAACTTTAAATTATATTCACTGAAGTATTTTACACCACTGTTGTTGACTGATGGATTGTTGTATTGATATTGTTCTGTATATTCAGGGTGGTACTCTGATAGCGGTTGGCCTTGGTGTTGCTGCTGCAGGCTTTGCAGGTAAGAAATAGCAAACATATAATATGCACACTCACACACCTTGCTACAGTTTGTACGCCAGATAATGTGATATAACCAAAGATTTTTGGTGTTCATTACAAGTTTGCCCATACAAACCGCTGCCATAAATTCTTTAACTTACCTTGTATTGGCGATACTCACTTCGTTCTCGATTCTGGAAAACAGTTTTCTTATAAATGTGACAGATTGGGTCTTATGTAGCAAAATTTGAAAGTGTTTTTTTACATTGGATAAAAGAGCTAGAAAATGGTATATCATACACTACAGTTGAGGAACAATGGGAAAGTAATTCTGCTTTGAAAGTTAAACTTGTAACCACACTTTTGAGAAAATGGCCTTTGAATGTTTTGGTACACCTACTGGAGAGCTTTTCTTTGTCTACACACATTCATCAACGTTCACACCCTCTTAAGCCTTAGCTCCACCCATCTCTTTAAGGATTCACATGTGCTAAACAGAGTGAGTAAGGTAGTGTACTAAACGACCAAAGATTTCAAGTCTAAAGGCTGGTTTATACTACGTCTAGCGACATGTCTGCAGACAGTTGTCGCAGTGACATCATGAACATTCTATTGTCATCCGACATCAAACTTGTCGTTGTCGTTATCAAAAAGACAGGCTGCATGACATCAGCAGCCTGGTGGTCCAAAATAGCATAACTTCTGTATTTTAACACTAATAAACCCATCTGTTTAAAAATGAATTTAGTATATGTCAATCTAGCAAACCAGGCAACTAAAGGCAACTTTGTAAAACAAAAAAATGGTTCATTTCTAGCTTGTTAGCTAACGTTAAGTTGGCTGGTTAGCCAGTTCAAATAATGACCATATCATAGCTGACAACGTCTTAACTTTAGCTTATTTACAAGTTAATGCCAAGCTAATTGCAGAAATAGCTTACGGTTGTGAGTGTGACGAAATAAAAGCAGGGCATTCTACCAGAGAATTTTAGAACTTGGACACTGTCTCGTTGGCCGAACATTACGTTCTCCCGAGTGGTGCAGTGGTCTAAGGCACTGCATCGCAGTGCTAGCTGTACCACTAGAGATCCTGGTTCGAATCCAGGCTCTGTCGTAGCCGGCCGCGCCCGGGAGACCCATGGGGCGGCGCACAATTGGCCCAGCGTCGTCCAGGGTAGGGGAGGGAATGGCTGGCAGGGATGTAGGGTTGTGGGTTCGATTCCCACGGGGGGCCAGTATGAAAAAAAATAAAATAATAATAATGTAAGTCGCTCTGGATAAGAGCGTCTGCTAAATGACAAAAATTTAATTACATCCTAATTTGACTTTGATGCAGGTCATGTTGTTCTTCACATTACCGTCTCTGGTAAACACACACTATATCAAATAAAATCAATGTTTATTTGTCACATGCACAGGATACAGAAGGTGTAAACGGTACAGTGAAATGGTTACTTGCATAGTGGAGTCTTTTGTTTAGACATGTAGCTAGCAAGCTAAACAATTAACCATAATCCCAACTCATAACATTACTACCATGCATGAATATATAGATTGCAGGTAGCTAAAGCTAACCAACTAGGTTCAATGTTAGCTAGCTAACATTAGGCTACAATTAACCATAATCCCAACTCATAACATTACTACCATGCATGAATCTGCAGGTAGCTAAAGCTAACCAACTAGGTTCAATGTTAGCTAGCTAACATTAGGCTATAACTAGCAATGCTTTTTGAGATCAAAATAATATTACTACACAGATCATACACGTGAAGTTAGCTAGCGAGCCAGCCAGCTAACGTTAGCTAGCTAGCTAACAGTACACTTTAACTTGCAATGAAAATGACTTTCTGACAAAATTAGATATGTATAATCTCCGAAAATGTAGCTAGCTAGAATCTCTTACCCGTATACATGGATGAACGCTTCTCCCTCTCTGTTACAGATGCCATGGTTGCGGTTAGTTTGAAGATGTAATCTGGAGACAGGTGTTTTATACAACAGCCTTCTGTGTGTTCTTTTTTCGACTCCCTCCGCATATTTGCAATCAAACGGCAGAATTTTCTTCATCTCCTTAGCTATCATACTCTGCTATCATACTCCGGGCATTCCACTGATTTTAAAACTTGGTCAACTTCTTCCTTGACAACACTTGATCGCCGTTTCAGAAGACTGTCTGGTTCAATGAAAAATGTTTTTACCTAAATCAGGGATTTCCTCATCGTCTGATTCATTTTCAGAGTCAGAGAGAGTCAGCATGGCACGATTGTCCTCCAGAAAGTGGAGAGCATTAGCAACACTTTTGCAGTTTTTCGTGACATCTTTCAAAAAAGCCGCGTTAGAAAGGCTTACCTACACATACTGAGCAGCTCATGTTATAGACAGTAGCATGCTACATGGCAGACCAATCCGAACTCCTCTCTCGGCATGTCCAGCCCATCCATTTTCTCAGCCAATCATGGCTAGCGGGAAGGTTCCTGTCTTTTTCACTGGCTAAACCAACCAGACTCACAATTGAAATGTTTTATTCGTATGTACAGATGGCATGCAAGTTTGTTATTAAGGCTCATGAAAGTTAACATGTTCCAGTTTATTTTGATCAAAAATAAATGCTTATGTTCAAATGCCTCTCCTGTGAAGTAGTGACGTGCGACCAACGCCTAGTTCCCTGAAACAAGTCACAAATGTCAGTGTACAATTGCAGGTGATAAATCCATGTTTTGTACCGCAAGAGGCCGTTCCTCACCATCTTAGCTGCCACACATCTAGCATTTCCCAGCATTTTGCAGGAACTAATCATTTTTATGCAACGCTACACACATGCAAGAAGCATATCTCACTCAAAACATGGATTTACTATCTTTCTGAGTTTTCTCTGGTGTTTGTAGAACCACCTGCAACTGTACACTGACACGTATAAGATACGTTTTCCAGAATCGAGAACGAAGAGTGTATCGCCAATACCAGGTTAGTTGTCGAATTTATGGCAGCGGTTTGTATGGACAAACCTGTAACGTCCAGTAATAGACACCAAAAATCTTTGGTTATCACATTATCTGGCGTACAATCTGTAGCAATCACACACCCAGGTTATTTGGTTATTCAGGAAGTTAGATGTCTTACAAAACAGTATATTATGATCTTCCAGTCATTCTGTATAGTGATAAAGTGCCGTTATCGGGTTATCTTGCAGAGCGCAGCAGTGAATAGGCACTATGCCATTATCAGCATTGGTACAAGAGTGTCAGTCAGCACAGCCGTATTGTATCATGGTTAATAGTAAGGCAGTGTGTGGTCTGCCAGTTGCCACAGGGTTCGAGTGATGTGAGGTCATTAGTTGTTGTGGCGGCTTTGAGGAACAGCACAGTCTAATTATCCTCTCTATGTACATGGAAAGGCCAGCAGCAGGCCAGCCGTGCACGTGCGTGTGTGCGGTCCCTCCACGGTTGAAGGACTTTCAGCTTTGTAGTTTTAGGAAAACAGAACTTCCTGGAGGTGGAGTAGTGGATTTACTCCGCCCACTCAGAACATGTCAGTCATCAGGTTATAAATAATGCCCTGATTACTCCCTGAGCTTAGCAGCGTGGCTCTCATACGTGACTGAGTGGTTTAGTGTTTTTCTCTTGGAAAGCAGCTCCTCCAGAGATGTTTTCTGCTGTGTGTGTCTGTGTGTGTGTGTGGAGTATATAAACAGAAAATGTTTGGCAGGGTGTAGATGCTGACTGGCTGTATGTGGGTTTGGAGAGTGACCACAGCTTATGACAGTTTACCAACACAAACACTGACCCAGTACACACCGATAACACACACACTCCGATACATATTAGACAGGACAAGAACATAGAACTGTGGTGACCAGTGAAAAGGGGTCTGTGTGTGTAGGACAAATATGTACTGTGTTTATGTTTCAGGTCGTTATGCCTTCCAGTTGTGGAAGCCTCTAGGACAGGTCCTGTCACAGACTGCTAAGAAGATGCCCACCTCAGTAAGTAAGCGACTAACTTGGTTATGTGGTGAACCACACGTCTAGGACGGTACCGCAATCCTAAGAGGAGATGAAAACATATCTAACCATGTAGACCTATATGTTTTTTGGGGCAACTTCTAATGAACTCCTACTAATTGTTTGCATGTCTTGGTACACTGTATTCTAAAACTATGCATGATCAACGATGACACCCACTGGTTTTGCAGAAAACTCTCCCACCACCCTACGGACGCACATTTGCAAATCTGGGGATTTCATGTATTGCCCCATCAGATAGTCACCAATCACCAATGTTTGGTTGCATGTTTGTGGTGTAGTATTTATTCCACTGACTGTCTGTAGGGTGGTTAGTGGGTGGACTGAATCATGGTCTTCAGTTTCCCCCTACTGCACCTGAGTTATTGCTCCACAGACCAAAGGCTCCACATCAGGTTCCCAGACAGGGTGATGCACCCACTGCCCTCTCTCACCTCCCCCTGACCCTGGCGTGTTTTGTGTAGCCATGTTCAGTTGGAGGACAGGAAGGGGTCAGAAAGGGCAGATGCATAGCTGCACTTCTTGATGACTCACTTTGTGTGTGTGTGTGTGTGTGAGAGAGAAACAGTCATTCCTTCTAGTGTGTGTGTATGATTAAAGCAGTGCGTGACGTGAGATGGATAAGTGATCAGATCTCACACTGTGTGTGTGTATGTCTGGCAGTTTCTCCCAGTGTGTACTGTGTGACAATGAGGCAGTGCGTGACCGAAGGGAGTTATTGAACCCTATGTACCACAGAATGCACTTCCACCCTTCTTACTCTAAGTATTTACACTGAGTAAAAAAGGATACCTTTCTAGTGGGTGAGTTGAATGATTTCTAGGTGTGTGTGTACTTTCAGTACTAATATCTCTCCTCTCTCTCCAGGCCTTCTCATCCCACTACTATAAAGGAGGGTTTGACCAGAAGATGACTAAAAGAGAAGCTAGCCTCATCCTTGGTATCAGGTAAGACTGGCGAAAGTGTGTGTGTGTCATGCTTGCCTGTTTGTGAAGGTGTGTGCGCACATGTTTCTATTTCAGTCTGCGTTTGATTTCTCTGGGTCTTTGATGGGTTTATATTAGTCATCTCTCTTCCTGGTTTAGTTTAATTTCACACTGTCAATCACATTAGGGAGAGAACAGAACACCTCTGAATAGTTTAGTGGTCAGAAGAACTGGATGTTCTTACTGCAACTTGTGAATATGTGATTTGACCACTAGATGGTGGTGTAATCCTGCTCTAAATATGTGTTGTCTGTGTGTAGCCATATGTAGTACATTCTTCTAACCCCAATCCTGTATCTCTCTCCCCCTGTAGCCCGACCAGCACCAAGTCCAAGGTGAGAGATGCCCACCGGAGGATCATGGTCCTCAACCACCCAGATAAAGGTCAGTTGACAGTTTAATCCATATTTACTGGACATGCGAAAGGACTGATTGGAGACGACTGAATTAATTATACAGTGATAATCTCCTATTACTGGTTCACGTGTGAACAGCATATCACCTGTCTTTATTGAACCCATATACAAGGTGTTTTTCCCCAGCGTCAGGCTTGTGCACTCGGCCCCTCTCTCCTCTATCAAGGTTAATGGCCTCCCTCAGTCTCCCTCTCCTGAGAGGTGTACACACACACACACATACAAAGTCACGCACATACACAGCAGTTAGTTTTACACACTTGTCCACACGGTGTTTTTCCCTCTCCTGAGAGGAACACACACACACAGCGGGTAGTTTTACTCTGTGTGAAATGAGAAATGGCCTGTGGGATTCCTCTCTGACTGGGCGATAAGAGCTGAGGTGACAGAGCGAGGGAGGAGTTAGAGAGAAAGCGGAAGATGGGGACAAATAATAAATAGGGGGATGAAATATGGGGCTATAAGCTCTGTAGGGTCACCTGTAGTCACATCCATCAATACTGTCATCCTTGGATATGGATTTTTGTGTTCTGTTTCAGAAGGAGGTAGCACAGTTTAAATTATAGTTAATTTGCATGTGTTTGGTTACTGGGACATCGATAGAGGAGAGAGGGTAATAACCCACAGATGGTCTGTCAGTCAGCTGGGTCTGGGCAGGAAAGAGTTGACTGATTCCTGGTCAGAGTAATGTGTTGGAATGATTTGGCTAATTACCTCTCATTAGTTCCTGTCTGTGAGCCAATAAGGTTCAGTGAGCAAGATGACGAGATTTCAGGAAGTGATTCGACAGACTGCTCTCTATTTCTGCCTCTCTAGGCCCTCTAGCCCTGTTTTTAGTATCTTTCTTTCCTTGTGAGTGCTGAAGGCCGTACCGGGCCGGCTCTGTGTGTCGGTGACTGATTAGCAGACTAGTTGAGGCCTTCATCAGGCCCTGCTCTCTGTCACTGCAAACACTCCCTAACAGTCTCATTTATTACCCTAAACACACACACACACAGTACTGCTTCTGCTGACACACTACACACCACCTAGAGAGGGCAGTATACACACATGGCTACTAAGGAAGTGTTGTGCACACACACACACCTGTGCCCTTCAGGCTGTCTTGGTAGTGTACTACTACTCCCAGGATGCTGTACTCATTGACCCTGTGAGCTGAGCAGACCACTCTGCCTCAGGACACACACACCTCTATCATGTGTTTTCAGAGCAGTGTGGTGAAGGGTAAGAGACGAGGAGAGGAAGTCACTTTAGACTATTAGGATGCAACCCAACCTCAGTTTGTGCTAGCTCAGCATACACCTATTCCCTGTGCTCTATAGTGATTAGTGTTCCACCGTGTGTTAATGCACAGTGCCGGCAGGCCAAACAGCTATAGAAGGTGATTGGATGTGACTGAGACGGGTAATGACTGAGCCTACTGTAGTCCTCTACACCTGACCTCTACATAGACTGGTTGTGTCAGTCAGTAGATGTCACTGAGGGGGTTTTGAGAGGGCATTGGGTTGGTGTGACTGAATGTCTGGGAAACAGCTTGCATGTCATGTGTAGACTGCGTTATATTGTTCTCACCTGGAATAGATAGAGGGGTGTGAGGGATGGAGGGGGGGGGGTGAAACAGACCGGTATTGATGAGAAGCGGATGTGTATTCTCTCTCCAGGTGGATCTCCATACATGGCCGCCAAGATCAATGAGGCTAAGGACATACTGGATAAAGACCAACGCCGCTAATAAAAACTACAGCCCCCATCACCCATCTGACCTCCTGGACTACAGTATACTACAGATCTATTTATTCTAGCCCTAACACATTACCATCCCCAGAAGCAGTGCTACTGCACCAATGGACTATTCCGAATCCTCGTTCAGGAAAGGTTATCTTTCAAGTTGAAGGTCACCTGTAGTTATAGCTTTATAAAAGTCAACATGTCTACTGTACAGTCTGTTGTAAATACACTATACCATAAGATACAAGATAATAATATTCCATAGAATAACTAATTAAAACATATACAGTGGGGGAAAAAAGTATTTAGTCAGCCACCAATTGTGCAAGTTCTCCCACTTAAAAAGATGAGAGGCCTGTAATATTCATCATAGGTACACGTCAACTATGAGAAAAAAAAATCCTGAAAATCACATTGTAGGATTTTTAATGAATTTATTTGCAAATTATGGTGGAAAATAAGTATTTGGTCAATAACAAAAGTTTCTCAATACTTTGTTATATACCCTTTGTTGGCAATGACACAGGTCAAACGTTTTCTGTAAGTCTTCACAAGGTTTTCACACACTGTTGCTGGTATTTTGGCCCATTCCTCCATGCAGATCTCCTCTAGAGCAGTGATGTTTTGGGGCTGTCGCTGGGCAACACAGACTTTCAACTCCCTCCAAAGATTTTCTATGGGGTTGAGATCTGGAGACTGGCTAGGCCACTCCAGGACCTTGAAATGCTTCTTACGAAGCCACTCCTTCGTTGCCCGGGCGGTGTGTTTGGGATCATTGTCATGCTGAAAGACCCAGCCACGTTTCATCTTCAATGCCCTTGCTGATGGAAGGAGGTTTTCACTCAAAATCTCACGATACATGGCCCCATTCATTCTTTCCTTTACACGGATCAGTCGTCCTGGTCCCTTTGCAGAAAAACAGCCCCAAAGCATGATGTTTCCACCCCCATGCTTCACAGTAGGTATGGTGTTCTTTGGATGCAACTCAGCATTCTTTGTCCTCCAAACACAACGAGTTGAGTTTTAACCAAAAAGTTCTATTTTGGTTTCATCTGACCATATGACATTCTCCCAATCCTCTTCTGGATCATCCAAATGCACTCTAGCAAACTTCAGACGGGCCTGGACATGTACTGGCTTAAGCAGGGGGACACGTCTGGCACTGCAGGATTTGAGTCCCTGGCGGCGTAGTGTGTTACTGATGGTAGGCTTTGTTACTTTGGTCCCAGCTCTTTGCAGGTCATTCACTAGGTCCCCCCGTGTGGTTCTGGGATTTTTGCTCACCGTTCTTGTGATCATTTTGACCCCACGGGGTGAGATCTTGCGTGGAGCCCCAGATCGAGGGAGATTATCAGTGGTCTTGTATGTCTTCCATTTCCTAATAATTGCTCCCACAGTTGATTTCTTCAAACCAAGCTGCTTACCTATTGCAGATTCAGTCTTCCCAGCCTGGTGCAGGTCTACAATTTTGTTTCTGGTGTCCTTTGACAGCTCTTTGGTCTTGGCCATAGTGGAGTTTGGAGTGTGACTGTTTGAGGTTGTGGACAGGTGTATTTTATACTGATAACAAGTTCAAACAGGTGCCATTAATACAGGTAACGAGTGGAGGACAGAGGAGCCTCTTAAAGAAGAAGTTACAGGTCTGTGAGAGCCAGAAATCTTGCTTGTTTGTAGGTGACCAAATACTTATTTTCCACCATAATTTGCAAATAAATTCATTAAAAATCCTACAATGTGATTTTCTGGAAAAATGTTTCTCAATTTGTCTGTCATAGTTGATGTGTACCTATGATGAAAATTACAGGCCTCTCTCATCTTTTTAAGTGGGAGAACTTGCACAATTGGTGGCTGACTAAATACATTTTTTCCTTTAACCTTTTTATTCCTCTGTGTGGTAAAGACATTATGGCCGCTGTGAAATTAACCCTGTATGAATGGACAACAGAGACCAAGCCTAGCTGAGCAGTGTGTGTGAACAACGCAGGTAGTAATTTATCAAAGGTTGCTGAATAAAACATTTTCTGTAATGGTAATCAATGACTCATTATTGTGTTTCTGTGATTAGTCCCTTTCTTCTGCACTGAGATGCCATTGTAGTAAACTATTAACAGTGCTGCAGGTTCTGATGAGAGAGGGAACATTGGGTAAGAGCTGTTTTTTAAGCTCCTGCGGTGAATGGTGACATTTCACTTTTTAAATGAGAGCCATTTCACCAGTAGCCTGCAGTAGAAGGTTTTTCCACATGTCGAAGAGGAGGGCTAGACAACCATGTAATCTGCACCGCGTTGCACATGCCTTCATTCCAGCATGATTTAGCTACGCATCATTAAAATACAACTCGTCCTGGGAGAATGCAGTTCCCAAATGATGTTACAGTGAACCATGTCCGTCTCTGTTGGGAAGCTATTGATTATCATGTAGCGTAGGGATGGGCAACTTTGATGGGGGTGGGGGCCACAAAAAAACGGAACTCATATTTGTATTGGTCCGTGGGCCTACAAAAAGCAAGTTGCCCATCCCTGATGTAGAGGGTAAGTGTCAGGTGTGTGTGGTAGTGTATGCACTGTTTGTGTGTTGCTGTAATGAAGGTCAGGGCTCTGTGTGCTTGGCTGATCTCTGCTCTGCTGTCCCTCCTGTGGATGGGTCTATTTCTAGCTGTTCCTCTCCCTGTGAAGAAACCACATGGCCCTCCTGAGCTAGCCTCTCTCTCCCTGTCCCCTCTCTCCCACTGCCCCCCACCCTCTCCCCAGTCCTCTCCATCAGGGTATCTTTCCATTACCACGTGTGAAAAGATTTTGCTTTGCCAGCTTCCTGCTGTCCAAAATGTTTGTTTTGCCAAGCTTCTGCATCTGTGCGGAACTGCCATGCTGGAGAGAGGGGAAATGACTAACCTTTATAACCCACACCTCGTAAAAACTCTTTTTAACAGCTTGTGCACTATAAATATGCAGGGCTCTGGGATACAAAGTATATTGCGTAAATGAGAGATACAAAGTATATTGAAAGCTTGTGCTTCTTCGCATGTCTGGTTCCTGAGTTAATTAAGCAATTAAAAACATCCCATCATGCTTAGGGTCATGTATAAAAATGCCCAGTTGCCCATTATTTTGGCTACCATGGCTAGAAGAAGAGATCTTAGGGTGTGTGCGTCTCAGTCACCAGATCTCAACCACTCCTGGGAGATTCTGGAGCGGCGCCTGAGACAGCGTTTTCCACCACCATCAACAAAACACCAAATTATGTAATTTCTCGTGGAAGAATGGTGTCGCATCCAGACACTTGTAGAATCTATGCCAAGGCACATTGAAGCTGTTCTGGCGGCTCGTGGTGGCCCAACGCCTTATTAAGACACTGTATGTTGGTGTTTCCTTTATTTAGGCAGTTACAGTTGAAGTCGGACGTTTACATACACTAAGGTTGGAGTCATTAAAACTAGTTTTTCAACCACTCCACAAATTTCTTGATAACAAACTAGAGTTTTGGCAAGTCGGTTAGGACATCTACTTTGTGCATGACACAAGTCATTTTTCCAACAATTGTTTACAGACAGATTATTTCACTTATAATTCACTGTATCACAATTCCAGTGGGTCAGAAATGTACATACCCTAAGTTGACTGTGCCTTTAAACAGCTTGGAGAATTCCAGAAAATGATGTCATGGCTTTAGAAGCTTCTGATAGGCTAATTGACATCATTTGAGTCAATTGGAGGTGTACCTGTGGATGCATTTCAAGGCCTACCTTCAAACTCGGTGCCTCTTTGCTTGACATCATGGGGAAATCAAAAGAAATCAGACAAGTTTGTAGACCTCCACAAGTCTGGTTCATCCTTGGGAGAAATTTCCAAACGCCTGAAGGTACCACGTTCATCTGTACAAACAATAGTACGCAAGTATAAACACCATGGGACCACGCAGCCGTCACACCGCTCAGGAAGGAGATGCATTCTGTCTCCTAGAGATTAATGTACTTTGGTGCGAAAAGTGCAAATCAATCCCAGAACAACAGCAAAGGACCTTGTGAAGATGCTGGAGGAAACAGGTACAAAAGTATCTATATCCACAGTAAAACGAGTCCTATATCGACATAACCTGAAAGGCCGCTCAGCAAGGAAGAAGCCACTGCTCCAAAACCGCCATAAAAAAGCCAGACTACAGTTTGCAACTGCACATGGGGACAAAGATGGTACTTTTTGGAGAAATGTCCTCTGGTCTGATGAATCAAAAATAGAACTGTTTGGCCATAATGACCATCGTTATGTTTGGAGGAAAAAGGGGGTCGCTTGCAAGCCAAAGAACACCATCCCAACCGTGAAGCACGGGGGTGGCAGCATCATGCTGTGGGGGTGCTTTGCTGCAGGAGGGACTGGTGCACTTCACAAAATAGATGGCATCATGAGGAAGGAAAATTCTGTGGATATATTGAAGCAACATCTCAAGACATCAGTCAGGAAGTTAAAGCTTGGACAACAAAGTCAAGGTATTGGAGTGGCCATCACAAAGCCCTGACATCAATCCTATAGAACATTTGTGGGCAGAACTGAAAAAGCGTGTGCGAGCAAGGAGGCCTACAAACCTGACTCAGTTATACCAGCTCTGTCAGGATGAATGGGCCAAAATTCACCCAACTTATTGTGGGAAGCTTGTGGAAGGCTACCAGAAACGTTTGACCCAAGTTAAACACTTTAAAGGCAATGCTACCAAATACTAATTGAGTGTATGTAAACTTCTGACCCACTGGGAATGTAAATAAAAGCTGAAATACATCATTCTCTCTACTATTATTCTGACATTTCACATTCTTAAAATAAAGTGGTGATCCTAACTGACCTAAGACAGGGAATTTTTACTAAGATTAAATGTCAGGAATTGTGAAAAACTGAGTTTAAATGTATTTGGCTAAGGTGTATGTAAACTTCCGACTTCAACTGTATCTGTATTTATACCATGGCATTGTTGAATACTTGTTTCTGATTGGCTTGAAGGGCATTCGAGAGCTTGCATTATTTAAGGAATAATGCCTGAGGGGGTGTGGTATATGGCCAATCTACCATTGCTAAGGGCTGTTCTTAGCGCGACGAAATGCAGAGTGCCTGGATAAAGCCCTTAGCTGTGGTATATTGGCCATATACCACAAACCCCCGAGGTGCCTTATTGCTATTATAAACTGGTTACCAACCAAATTAGAGCAGTAAAATTCAATGTTTTATCATACCCATGGTATGCAGTCTGTTTTAAACTAGGTGGTTTGAGCCCTGAATGCTGATTGGCTGACAGCCGTGGTATAGCAGACCGTATACCAAGGGTATGACAAAACATTTATTTCTACTGCTCTAATTACGTTGGTAACCAGTTCATAATAGCAATAAGGCACCTCAGGGGTTTGTGCTATATGGCCAATATACCACGGCTAAGGGCTGTGTCCAGGCACGCCGCATTGCGTCGTGCATAAGAACAGCCCTTAGCCGTGGTATATTGGCCATATACCACACCCCCTCTGGCCTTATTGCTTAAATATACCACAGCTTTCAACCAATCAGCATTCAGGGCTCAAACCACCCAGTTTATAATTCCATATAAAGCACAGTATATATTTGTACAGTAGAATTCAATGGCTATAGTTAATTCTTACATGTTCTATGTTTGAGCTGCTTATGAAAGCAAAAGTCGAATTGAAAACATTATTGACATTGTTGAATTCGATTTTCATAATGGCAAGCTAGGACTGCAGTCCAAACATGTTATTTTTAGCCCCTCAGCTCTTGCACTAGCCATTTTGAAAGGCCTTTGGTTTGACAGGGGTATTAATTTTGTATGTGATTTGTTAGACAACACTGGGGAGTTTCTGCCATTTGATGAGTTCATTGGTAAATTTCAGGTTCTATTACTCAGAGAGAATATATTAAGGTTTGCGAAGCAATTCCACTTCCTTTACTTGGACTTATTAAGAACACTTTGTTATATTATGAGGTTGTTCCCACTTTTCCAAGTTTACAAATTAATGACTTGAAACTTTTGGATAAAAAAATTGAACAATAAGTGGATACGATTGGCAGTAAATGAAGTAATTTTTGGTGATTATAATTACATTGCTATGGAAGTGACCAACCCATACTATGGTCAAAAGTGACTACCTTTTACCTTAATTGTCCAGTTATCCCAAAAGTTAAAGAAACTCATTTTAAAATATTTTCTTCCATGTACCCTGTTAATGATTTCTTGCAGAAAATATTCAATTTTGACAAAATGCCTTGTGTTTTTTGTTCCTCTGATTCAGAATATATAGAGGGGTTTTATTTTTTTCATGTCGCCATTCTAGTAAACTATGGATTGAAATTCATGAATGGTTGTGTATAAAATCTCCAGAATTACCTATGTTTACCTTTGAATATGTTAAATGGCATTATGCTTCTCCTTGTAATTCCGATCATAACTATTAATAATGGGGGGTTATTATTTTATTTTTTCATTGTACTCACAGGAATGTCCCTGTACTGATGTGTAATATTGTTATTATTGTTGCAATAAATAATAATACAAAATTAAAAAATTAAACTGGCGTTAGCCACTTTCCCTCCGGGGAATACCCGTCGAAACCGGATGCAGTTTGATTGCCACCTTAAGTGGAGGTTCAATTCACTTACGTTGCCCCCTCGGACCTCGATTTAGCGAGTGAAGAACTTTGGTTACTTGCGGGATTGATATGACCCACAATTGAACGCAAATGTCAGGGTTGTGGGTTCGTTTCCCATGGCGGGCCAGTATGAAAAAAGAAGAAAACAAAACAACAACAAATGTATGCACTCTAACTGTAAGTCGCTCTGGATAAGAGCGTCTGCTAAAAATGACAAAAAATGATGTATGTAGTCACATGTCAAACTATGAAGCTAGCTTGCTAAATATATATATATATACATTGATTTTATCGTTGGCAAATTAGTTAGCCTCGTAGTGAGGAGCCTATAAAACGTAGCTAGATTCATAAACACATTTTTGGGAATTCAGAAATTCATTGGAATAAATGACCAAACTATAAAACTAGCTAGCCCGCTATGGGTAACTGTAGCTAGCTACCTGACAGGAGTGCTAGCTAGATATGTTAGCTTACTAGGTACATGAATAGCTTTAGGTTGGTTGTTTTTAAGCTCAACTTCCAGATTTCCACCAAGGACGTTACCTCTCCGATCACCACTCTCCCTCGCTTAGGCAAGGGGCATTTGGTACACTCGAATGTGACGATGTAAAACGTCATTCAAGGGCTGAGGGTTTAGGGCCGAGGGCTGTCTACTTTGAGTTTGAAACGCAGCCGGACTGATGGTTTAGTTAGCTAAACTAGCAAGTCTGTTTGTTTGGTTACCACGGCAACTACTGTAACAATCTAGTAAACTTGCTAGCTACTTCAGTAGATGTTGAACACATTTATACCGGCAGATGAACACATTTATAGCAGCAAATGTGTTAAATTATAGCCATGGTATAAAAGGGATCATCAACTCCGGAATCTATGTGTTCTCTGGAAAATAATGTAACTCAGTTCCACTCCGCTAGCGCGTCGTTGAACACACCTTCCACGTCGTTCATTATTTCCTTACATATCCAATGTTTTGTATAAAGATATCACATGATATACGCTGAGACAATAATGCACTCAGGAATGTATTGTGTGGCATGCCCTGTTGTTATGAGTCAGATTCGTCATATTGTCTTTCATAACATTCTAGACAGAGCATTGCATTCCAGAGCAATGTATTGAGTTCTAGAATTCCATCACTCTTGCCATTCAAAACTCATTAAATGCATTGAATCCTCAGGTGTCTCCTTAGCTGCTGTGGATAGACTCTGACAGACAGACTGACAGGCACGCAGACAGGCACACAGACAGGTCTTTGATCCTGTTTCCTCTCCTCTCAGATAGCTAACACAGAAAAGTGCAGTAGGGCTGCAGCCATAATGTCCTCCAAGTGTCTCTGAGCAGCACACCATCAGATCCAGACTCTCTCTCTCTCTCGCTCTCTCTCTCTCTCTCTCTTACACTCCCTCCACCCCTCTCTCTCTCTCTCTCTCTCTCTCTCTCTCTGTCCCACTAGTATCTCTCCACTGTTAATATCACAATAACATAACCCAAATCATATGTCAGAGTATCCAGCAGTCACATTGAATATTTCCTAATTCTTTCCAACTGGCAGCAGAAAGCAGTGAGATGAAAGATCATATGGTCCACAACAACAGAATGTGTGAGAGAACAAAAGAGTGGACGTGTAGCTCAGGGAAAGTACTCCTGCCATGATCTAGATTCTAGAGTATTTTGGATAAATTTGAGTGTGCATGCATAGAGATATCTCATTCTAGTTCTGTGTGTGCATGACAGTCTCAAGGTAGAGGGTTGGTTAGCTGACATCATCCTGGTTGAAAAGAGGACATGGCTAGTATTAGGAGATGAGGTGAGGAGTCATCCTTTACCAATGACTGATGCTGAGATACAGACTGGTCTCTGCTCTGAGCTCTGATCACAATAACAACAACACCAGACAGGCCAACCGCTCTGGTCTGTTCTCCCTCACCCTCAATAGAATTACATGACACAGATTGCATAGAAACTGTTATTCAGCATTCTGTTGTTTGCAATGTTAAAATGTCAAGATGCACTTAATTAGACGCGGTAAAGAGGTCAATGGAACTTGACCCAAAAAATTGAAATGCCATGGAAACGCGTGGGGGAAAGATCTCGAATCTCCTCATTGCCCCCTAGTAAAATGTGCCTACATTTATGGATGTCAACCCCAATACATGTTCATGTCATCATCACCAATCAACTGCATTGCAGTTAAAAACGACTTTGACTACCACCACCGATTTCTGTATGCTAGCTATGGTACCAGCTTATACGAAAGGGAGTTATCATTTATCAGTCACTTCTTCTATACCTGAAAAGGAACAACTTCTAAATGTTATGGCAGCGAAAATAGCCAAATATATCCAAATCGGACTTTAGTAACATTTACATTTACATCATTTAGCAGACGCTCTTATCCAGAGCGACTTACAAATTGGTAAGTAACCACATTGTGGGCCTGTTACAATACATCAATCATGACGGATTTGACTAATATTTGTTGAACGTGCCCCAATCCGGCGTCCTTCTTCTATCCCCCACGGTCTGCATTCCATTGACGTCTTTACCGCATCTATGGCTCTATTGTACTGTATGTGGGAGAGGCATTCTAAAGGACAGAGTGTCAAACCTCGAGACCACTCTTTATTTTTGTATATATACAGTGGGGAGAACAAGTATTTGATACACTGACGATTTTGCAGGTTTTCCTTCTTACAAAGCATGTAGAGGTCTGTAATTTTATCATAGGTACACTTCAACTGTGGGAGACGGAATCTAAAACAAAAATCCAGAAAATCACATTGTATGATTTTTAAGTAATTAATTTGCATTTTATTGCATGGCATAAGTATTTGATCACCTACCAACCAGTAAGAATTCCGGCTCTCACAGACCTGTTAGTTTTTCTTTAAGAAGCCCTCCTGTTCTCCACTCATTACCTGTATTAACTGCACCTGTTTGAACTCGTTACCTGTATAAAAGACACCTGTCCACACACTCAATCAAACAGACTCCAACCTCTCCACAATGGCCAAGACCAGAGAGCTGTGTAAGGACATCAGGGATAAAATTGTAGACCTGCACAAGGCTGGGATGGGCTACAGGACAATAGGCAAGCAGCTTGGTGAGAAGGCAACAACTGTTGGCGCAATTATTAGAAAATGGAAGAAGTTCAAGATGACGGTCAATCACCCTCGGTCTGGGGCTCCATGCAAGATCTCACCTCGTGGGGCATCAATGATCATGAGGAAGGTGAGGGATCAGCCCAGAACTACACGGCAGGATCTGGTCAATGACCTGAAGAGAGCTGGGACCACAGTCTCAAAGAAAACCATTAGTAACACACTACACCGTCAAGGATTAAAATCCTGCAGCGCACGCAAGGTCCCCCTGCTCAAGCCAGCGCATGTCCAGGCCCGTCTGAAGTTTACCAATGACAATCTGGATGATCCAGAGGAGGAATGGGAGAAGGTCATGTGGTCTGATGAGACAAAAATAGAGCTTTTTGGTCTAAACTCCACTCGCCGTGTTTGGAGGAAGAAGAAGGATGAGTACAACCCCAAGAACACCATCCCAACCGTGAAGCATGGAGGTGGAAACATCATTCTTTGGGGATGCTTTTCTGCAAAGGGGACAGGACGACTGCACCGTATTGAGGGGAGGATGGATGGGGCCATGTATCGCGAGATCTTGGCCAACAACCTCCTTCCCTCAGTAAGAGCATTGAAGATGGGTCGTGGCTGGGTCTTCCAGCATGACAACGACCCAAAACACACAGCCAGGGCAACTAAGGAGTGACTCCGTAAGAAGCATCTCAAGATCCTGGAGGGAGCTAAAAGTCCATATTGCCCAGCGACAGCCCCGAAACCTGAAGGATCTGGAGAAGGTCTGTATGGAGGAGTGGGCCAAAATCCCTGCTGCAGTGTGTGCAAACCTGGTCAAGACCTGCAGGAAACGTATGATCTCTGTAATTGCAAACAAAGGTTTCTGTACCAAATATTAAGTTCTGCTTTTCTGATGTATCAAATACTTATGTCATGCAATAAAATGCATATTAATTACTTAAAAATCATACAATGTGATTTTCTGGATTTTTGTTTTAGATTCCGTCTCTCACAGTTGAAGTGTACCTATGATAAAAATACAGACCTCTACATGCTTTGTAAGTAGGAAAACCTGCAAAATCGGCAGTGTATCAAATACTTGTTCTCCCCACTGTATATATATTTTTTGGGGGGTAGATCAGCTTTAATATTTCAGATAGATTGTAACTTCCATCAATGTAATTGTCGGCATCACTTCCAAACCCCCATATGTTTTTTTTTCTCACAAATATATACAGTGGGGAAAACAAGTATTTAGTCAGCCACCAATTGTGCAAGTTCTCCCACTTAAAAAGATGAGAGAGGCCTGTAATATTCATCATAGGTACACGTCAACTATGACAGACAAAATGAGAATTTTTTTCCCAGAAAATCACATTGTAGGATTTTTAATGAAATTATTTGCAAATTATGGTGGAAAATAAGTATTTGGTCAATAACAAAAGTTTCTCAATACTTTGTTATATACCCTTTGTTGGCAATGACACAGGTCAAACGTTTTCTGTAAGTCTTCACAAGGTTTTCACACACTGTTGCTGGTATTTTGGCCCATTCCTCCATGCAGATCTCCTCTAGAGCAGTGATGTTTTGGGGCTGTCGCTGGGCAACACAGACTTTCAACTCCCTCCAAAGATATTCTATGGGGTTGAGATCTGGATACTGGCTAGGCCACTCCAGGACCTTGAAATGCTTCTTACGAAGCCACTCCTTCGTTGCCCGGGCGGTGTGTTTGGGATCATTGTCATGCTGAAAGACCCAGCCACGTTTAATCTTCAATGTCCCTGCTGATGGAAGGAGGTTTTCACTCAAAATCTCACGATACATGGCCCCATTCATTCTTTCCTTTACATGGATCAGTCGTCCTGGTCCCTTTGCAGAAAAACAGCCCCAAAGCATGATGTTTCCACCCCCATGCTTCACAGTAGGTATGGTGTTCTTTGGATGCAACTCAGCATTCTTTGTCCTCCAAACACGACGAGTTTTTACCAAAAAGTTATATTTTGGTTTCATCTGACCATATGACATTCTCCCAATCCTCTTCTGGATCATCCAAATGCACTCTAGCAAACTTCAGACGGGCCTGGACATGTACTGGCTTAAGCAGGGGGACACGTTTGGCACTGCAGGATTTGAGTCCCTGGCGGCGTAGTGTGTTACTGATGGTAGGCTTTGTTACTTTGGTCCCAGCTCTCTGCAGGTCATTCACTAGGTCCCCCTGTGTGGTTCTGGGATTTTTGCTCACCGTTCTTGTGATCATTTTGACCCCACGGGGTGAGATCTTGTGTGGAGCCCCAGATCGAGGGAGATTATCAGTGGTCTTGTATGTCTTCCATTTCCTAATAATTGCTCCCACAGTTGATTTCTTCAAACCAAGCTGCTTACCTATTGCAGATTCTGTCTTCCCAGCCTGGTGCAGGTCTACAATTTTGTTTCTGGTGTCCTTTGACAGCTCTTTGGTCTTGGCCATAGTGGAGTTTGGAGTGTGACTGTTTGAGGTTGTGGACAGGTGTCTTTTATACTGATAACAAGTTCAAACAGGTGCCATTAATACAGGTAACGAGTGGAGGACAGAGGAGCCTCTTAAAGAAGAAGTTACAGGTCTGTGAGAGCCAGAAATCTTGCTTGTTTGTAGGTGACCAAATACTTATTTTCCACCATAATTTGGAAATAAATTCATTAAAAATCCTACAATGATTTCAGCTTTTATTTCTTTCATCACATTCCCAGTGGGTTAGAAGTTTACATACACTCAATTAGTATTTAGTAGCATTGCCTTTAAATTGTTTAACTTGGGTCAAACGTTTCGGGTAGCCTTCCACAAGCTTCCCACAATAAGTTGGGTGAATTTAGGCCCATTCCTCCTGACAGAGCTGGTGTAACTGAGTCAGGTTTGTAGGCCTCCTTGCTCGCACACGCTTTTTCAGTTCTGCCCACTAATTTTCTATAGGATTGAGATCAGGGCTTTGTGATGGCCACTCCAATACCTTGACTTTGTTGTCCTTAAGCCATTTTGCCACAACTTTGGAAGTATGCTTGGGGTCATTGTCCATTGGGAAGACCCATTTGCGACCAGGCTTTAACTTCTTGACTGATGTCTTGAGATGTTCCTTCAATATATCTACATAATTTTCCTTCCTCATGATGCCATCTATTTTGTGAAGTGCACCAGTCCCTCCTGCAGCAAAGCACCCCCACAGCATGATGCTGCCACCCCCGTGCTTCACGTTTGGGATGGTGTTCTTTGGCTTGCAAGCAACCCCCTTTTTCCTCCAAACATAACGATGGTCATTATGGCCAAACAGTTCTATTTTTATTTCATCAGACTAGAGGACATTTCTCCAAAAAGTACGATCTTTGTCCCCATGTGCAGTTGCAAACCGTAGTCTGGCTTTTTTATGGCGGTTTTGGAGCAGTGGCTTCTTCCTTACTGAGCGGCCTTTCAGGTTATGTCAATATAGGACTTGTTTTACTGTGGATATAGATACTTTTGTACCTGTTTCCGCCAGCATCTTCAGAAAGTCCTTTGCTGTTGTTCTTTGATAGAATGGCACTTTTCGCACCAAAGTACGTTCATCTCTAGGAGACAGAATGCGTCTCCTTCCTGAGTGGTATTACAGCTGCGTGATCCCATGGTGTTTATACTTGCGTACTATTGTTTGTACAGATGAACGTGGTACCTTCAGGCGTTTGGAAATTGCTCCCAAGGATGAACCAGACTTGTGGAGATCTACAAATTTTTTCGGAGGTCTTGTCTGATTTCTTTTGATTTTCCCATGATGTCAAGTAAAGAGGTACCGAGTTTGAAGGTAGGCCTTGAAATACATCCACAGGTACACCTCCAATTGACTCAGATGATGTCAATTAGCCTATCAGAAGCTTCTAAAGCCATGACATCATTTTCTGGAATTTTCCAAGCTGTTTAAAGGCACAGTCAACTTAGTGTATGTAAACTTCTGACCCACTGGAATTGTGATACAGTGAATTATAAGTGAAATAATCTGTCTGTAAACAATTGTTGGAAAAATGACTTGTGTCATGCACAAAGTAGATGTCCTAACCACCTTGCCAAAACTATTGTTTGTTTACAAGAAATTTGTGGAGTGGTTGAAAAACGAGTTTTAATGACTCCAACCTAAGTTTATGTAAACTTCCGACTTCAACTGTATATATATACAGTGAGGGAAAAAAGTATTTGATCCCCTGCTGATTTTGTACGTTTGCCCACTGACAAAGAAATGATAATTCTATAATTTTAATGGTAGGTTTATTTGAACAGTGAGAGACAGAATAACAACAAAAAAATCCAGAAAAACGCATGTCAGAAATGTTATAAATTGTTTTGCATTTTAATGAGGGAAATAAGTATTTGACCCCTCTGCAAAACATGACTTAGTACTTGGTGGCAAAACCCTTGTTGGCAATCACAGAGGTCAGACGTTTCTTGTAGTTGGCCACCAGGTTTGCACACATCTCAGGAGGGATTTTGTCCCACACCTCTTTGCAGATCTTCTCCAAGTCATTAAGGTTTCGAGATTGACGTTTGGCAACTCGAACCTTCAGCTCCCTCCACAGATTTTCTATGGGATTAAGGTCTGGAGACTGGCTAGGCCACTCCAGGACCTTAATGTACTTCTTCTTGAGCCACTCCTTTGTTGCCTTGGCCTTGTGTTTTGGGTCATTGTCATGCTGGAATACCCATCCACGACCCATTTTCAATGCCCTGGCTGAGGGAAGGAGGTTCTCATCCAAGATTTGACGGTACATGGCCCCGTCCATCGTCCCTTTGATGCGGTGAAGTTGTCCTGTACCCTTAGCAGAAAAACACCCCCAAAACATAATGTTTCCACCTCCATGTTTGATGGTGGGGATGGTGTTCTTGGGGTCATAGGCAGCATTCCTCCTCCTCCAAACACGGCGAGTTGAGTTGATGCCAAAGAGCTCGATTTTGGTCTCATCTGACCACAACACTTTCACCCAGTTCTCCTCTGAATCATTCAGATGTTCTTTGGCAAACTTCAGACGGGCCTGTATATGTGATTTCTTGAGCAGGGGGACCTTGCGGGCGCTGCAGGATTTCAGTCCTTCACGGCGTAGTGTGTTACCAATTGTTTTCTTGTTGACTATGGTCCCAGCTGTCTTGAGATCATTGACAAGATCCTCCCGTGTAGTTCTGGGCTGATTCCTCACCGTTCTCATGATCATTGCAACCCCACATGGTGAGATCTTGCATGGAGCCCCAGGCCGAGGGAGATTGACAGTTCTTTTGTGTTTCTTCTATTTGCGAATAATCACACCAACTGTTGTCATCTTCTCACCAAGATGCTTGGTGATGGTCTTGTAGCCCATTCCAGCCTTGTGTAGGTCTACAATCTTGTCCCTGACATCCTTGGAGAGCTCTTTGGTCTTGGCCATGGTGGAGAGTTTGGAATCTGATTGATTGATTGCTTCTGTGGACAGGTGTCTTTTATACAGGTAACAAGCTGAGATTGGGAGCACTCCCTTTAAGAGTGTGCTCCTAATCTCAGCTCATTACCTGTATAAAAGACACCTGGGAGCCGGAACTCTTTCTGATTGAGAGGGGGTCAAATACTTATTTCCCTCATTAAAATGCAAATCAATTTATAACATTTTTGACATGCGTTTTTCTGGATTTTTTTGTTGTTATTCTCTCTCACTGTTCAAATAAACCTACCATTAAAATTATAGACTGATCATTTCTTTGTCAGTGGGCAAACATACAAAATCAGCAGGGGATCAAATACTTTTTTCCCTCACTGTATGTATGTATATACAATATATATATATATATATATATATATGCATATATACATATACACATACATACACACACATATATATACATATATACATACATCCATACACACACACATATCCTTTTTTAAATTATATTTCCCTTCATTACTTTCCAACCCCACCACCCCTTCCTCAATTGGAGTAAACTAGTGGACAACAACGCATAGGCCTCTACTTCCAGCCCATACATACTATATACATTTTATGGACACGGTCAAATTCTACAATAATTATATATTGTTTGTTTATACTCCTGAACTTCCTCCAATCATTTTCATGATGTCCATCTGGTTTGCTTCTAAATGCCATATTTTTCTAACTGTGCGCTTTCACAAAAGCTCTCAACCTATAACCTATATACTTATTATGGACACAGTATGCTTTAAATTAGTTATCTTGTTTTTATTAGTTGTTGTTATTAGTCCCATCCTTCAGCTCCATTCAAAAGTTCTGAACCTATCTATTCTCATTGGTTTTACAGATCGTAAATTGAAAATAATTTTTTTTGCTAAAAGTATTATTATATTATTGATCGATTGACTATGACCTTTCAGATCACCCAGTAGTGCTATCTGCAGGGTTAGCTCCAGGTAAATATTGCAATCCTTTAGCCATTCCTGGACCTGTGTCCAAAAACAAGCTACAAATGGACAGTACCAAAACAAATGATCTAATGATTCTGTCTCTTCGCAGCAAAATCTGCAGAGCTGGGAAGATTGTATCCCCCATATAAATAACATTCTATTGGTAGCAAGAATTTTATATAATAATTTCAATTGAAAAATTCTAAGTTTTGAATCCGGCATCGTTTTGCGTATCAATTCATTTTTATTTTTTATTTCACCTTTATTTAACCAGGTAAGCCAGTTGAGAACAAGTTCTCATTTACAACTGCGACCTGGCCAAGATAAAGCAAAGCAGTGCGATAAAAACAACAACAACACAGAGTTACATATGGAATAAACAAAAACGTACATCCAATAACACAATAGGAAATATAAAATATATATACAGTGTGTGCAAATGTAGTAAGTTATGGAGGTAAGGCAATAAATAGGCCATAGTGCAAAATAATTACAATTTAGTATTAACACTGGAGTGATAGATGTGCAGAAGATGATGTGCAAATAGAGATACTGGGGTGCAAATTAGCAAAATAAATAACAATGTAAATAACAATAGTAGTGATTCTAGTCGGGCGGGCGGGTGCAAGCAGTGTTCGATTGAAGAGCATGCATTTAGTTATACTAGCGTTTAAGAGCAGTTGGAGGCCACGGAAGGAGTGCTGTATGGCATTGAAGCTCGTTTGGAGGTTTGTTAACACAGTGTCCAATGAAGGGCCAGATGTATACAAAATGGTGTCGTCCGCATAGAGGTGGATCTGAGAGTCACCAGCAGCAAGAGCGACATCATTGATATACACAGAGAATAGAGTCGGCCCGAGAATTGAACCCTGTGGCACCCCCATAGAGACTGCCAGAGGTTCAGACAACAGGCCCTCCGATTTGACACATTGAACTCTATCTGAAAAGTAGTTGGTGAACCAGGCGAGGCAGTCAGTTGAGAAACCAAGGCTATTTAGTTTGCCAATAAGAATGCGGTGATTGACAGAGTCAAAAGCCTTGGCCAGGTCGATGAAGACGGCTGCACAGTACTGTCTTTTATCAATCGCGGTTATTATATCGTTTAGGACCTTGAGCGTAGCTGAGGTGCACCCATGACCAGCTCGGAAACCAGATTGCATAGTGGAGAAGGTACGGTGGGATTCGAAGTGGTCAGTGATCTGTTTGTTAACTTGGCTTTCAAATACTTTCGAAAGGCAGGGTAGGATGGATATAGGTCTGTAACAGTTTTGATCTAGAGTGTCACCCCCTTTGAAGAGGGGGATGACCGCGGCAGCTTTCCAATCTCTGGGGATCTCAGACGATACGAAAGAGAGGTTGAACAGGCTAGTAATAGGGGTTGCGACAATTTCGGCGGCTAATTTTAGAAAGAAAGAGTCCAGACTGTCTAGCCCAGCTGATTTGTAGGGGTCCAGATTTTGCAGCTCTTTCAGGACATCAGCTATCTGAATTTGGGTGAAGGAGAAGCGGGGGGGGCATGGGCAAGTTGCAGCGGAGGGTGCAGAGCTGGTGGCCGGGGTAGGGGTAGCCAGGTGGAAAGCATGGCCAGCCGTAGCAAAATGCTTATTGAAATTCTCGATTATCGTAGTTTTATCGGTGGTGACAGTGTTTCCTAGCCTCAGTGCAGTGGGTAGCTGGGAGGAGGTGCGTTTATTCTCCATGGACTTTACAGTGTCCCAAAACTTTTTGGAGTTAGTGCTACAGGATGCAAATTTCTGTTTGAAAAAGCTAGCCTTTGCTTTCCTAACTAATTGTGTATTGGTTCCTGACTTCCCTGAAAAGTTGCATATCGCGGGGGCTGTTCGATGCTAATGCAGTATGCATAACTCCACCAGTCCTACCGATAATATCATTTACGAAGATTATACCTTTTTTAAACATTTTGTAAGAAAAAAAAAGTTATTTTATCAATTAGTATATTTGAGTTTAACCACTCTTGATCTGCCATCTATGAGATCATTTGACAGGTTCATTCGTGGTGCCAATAATTGCATTGAGACAGCATTTCAAAGATTAGCACATAATGTGTAAAAAACAGAGTTAATGCTAAACATAGTTTTGGTTTTAACTCAGTGGGCTAACTCAGTGTTGTGGCGCATAGATGATACTGGTTCAATGTCAGTCACACACACACACACACACACACACAGACACACAGGCTACTGCTGCATCTCCTCTTCTCATCCCCTCATCTTTTGACACTAAACTAAACTAAAATCTCTCCTCTACCTGTCAGTCCTCACCTCTCAGATCTTAAAGGATTCCTCACCTCCTGCAGCTGTGCTGTCAGACACACAGGAGGACTAGAGGTTATGTTCAGATGTAGGCCAGCCAGAGAAGTTACAAAATCAGCCCTCAGGATGTCTGCTCCAGGGCTGGACGCAGCAGAGCATCTGTCTGGCAGAGATATGGCTGGAACGGCAGCCATGTTGGAGAGGTCACAGGGGGCTGGAAGCCATGTTGGAGAGGTCACAGGGGGCTGGCAGCCATTTTGGTGAGGTCGGTGTGTTTGACATCAGGATGTTGATCTGATGAGAACCAGATAGGGAGTTAGAGAGAGATGACAGAACAGCTGCTGCAACCAATGGCTCATTCAGGTGGGCACAACAAAATCCATAGGTCATTGTCATTCATATGATAATGTGTTGGGATGTAAGAGAGGCAGACCTGAGTGAAAGACCTCCATCCCTCAGTATTTCCTGGTACAAACGGCAACATCACAATAAGGCCATTACTCATAGCAATGGCTCCTAGGCAAGGATAATTCCAGACACATGCAGTGAGGCCTCATTAAAGAGGCATGACATTAGAAGCTTTGAAACAGGTGGAATGTGAAACGCTTCATCGCTGTAAACAAAGACACACAAAGGCCCATGGCTAATTAATGCTGTCAACAGACGCATTTAGAACATGTTGCCTGGCTAATGCTGCTGCTGTCTGCACTCCCTCGGCTGCTAACACTACTGATATTTATAGATGGAGCCCTCATTTATACACACACCGACATAAGCAGGCAGACACAGGAGCGCATGCACGCGCACACACAAGCAGGCAGGCAGGCAGGCAGGCAGACAGACAGACAGACAGACAGACAGACCTCTGAGCTGAGAGAAGCAGCGACAGATTTCTTGACCCAGAGGCATACATGTTGGCAGCCTAACTGACAGTCTGCAACTCTCTCTCTCTCTGAAATGTTTATTTGCATTGTAGAAATGACTGTAAATAAACGGCATGTCATTGAAGGTCACAATGACACAGTACTGCAGCTGTTGTCTATTATCATACGTAAATCAATTCTCTTTGTTTACTTGTTACTGTCGTATGGGCACAATCATAACTGGAGATACAATACAAGTGCATAAATCAAATGTTTGATCTGTTGTGTAAATCTTACATTATGTAAATGTAGGATTTCCTCAATGTCCCCAGACACTTCCCAAACTATTTCAAATGATATTGTTTCCTCTTGTCTTCTCCTTTGTATCATGTCGACTGATACAGATGATCGAATGTATGGGTTTCCACCATATTGCCTCCACTCCACCTATCCTGGGTTTTCAGATCCTAGCATATGAAGGAAAGGAGACGAGAAGCTAACTTGACACGATGAAAGGAGATGAGTATAGTAAGCTACTCCAGACTATTGAGACTCTCCTGGATCTCATTACTGTCCCAGACAATATACATGTTCACAGCTCCCAGCAGACAACTAAACTATACGACCTCTGTATCTGCTAGCAGCTAGCTGGTGATGTCACACACACATAGAACAAAACAGACAGAATTGGCAGAGAGAGAGAGAGAATTGGAGAAGGAGAGAAAGGAAGAGAGAGAGTACAACAGAAAGTGAGAAAGAGAGAGAGAGGGACAGAATGAGAGAGAGAGAGACAGGGGGAAGGCAAGAAGAGAAGGATGGGGATTCTAAATTAGGCTTTACATCGATGGGGCTGTCGTGGAACAGGTTGAGAGCTTCAAGTTCCTTGGTGTCCACATCACCAACAAACTATCATGGTCCAAACACACCAAGACAGTCGTGAAGAGGGCACGACAAACCATATTCCCCCTCAGGAGACTGAAAAGATTTGGCATGGGTCCTCAGATCCTCAAAAAGTTCTACAGCTGCACCATCGAGAGCATCCTGACTGGTTGCATCACTGCCTGGTATGGCAACTGCTCGGCCTCCGACCGCAAGGCACTACAAATGGTGGTGCATACGGCCCAGTACATCATTGGGGCCAAGCTTCCTGCCATCCAGGACCTCTATACCAGGCGGTGTCAGAGGAAGGCCCTAAAATTTGTCAAAGACTCCAGCCACCCTAGTCATAGACTGTTCTCTCTGCTACCGCATGGCAAGCGGTACCAGAGCGCCAAGTCTAGGTCCAAAAGGCTTCTTAACAGCTTCTACCCCCAAGCCATAAGACTCCTGAACAGCTAATCATGGCTACCCAGACTATTTGCATTGTCACCCCACCCCATCCCACCCCCTCTTTTACGCTGCTGCTACTCTCTGTTTATTATCTATGCATAGTCACTTTAACTCTACCCACATGTACATATTACCTCAATTACCTTGACTAACCTGTGCCCCCGCACATTGACTCTGTACCGGTACCCCCTGTATATAGCCTAGCTACTGTTATTTTATTTTACTGCTGCTCTTTAATTATTTTTGTTGTTGTATTTTTTACTTATCTATTTTTTACTTATTTTCCTTAAAACTGCATTGTTGGTTAAGGGCTTGTAAGTAAGCATTTCACTGTAAGGTCTACACCTGTTCTATTCAGCGCATGTGGCAAACAACATTTGATTTGATTTGATTTTCTAGAATAGGAAGCCATCACAGGCCCGATGTCAGCTTGTGTAAACATTGGGTTGTGTTTGCCCCAGTCCATTGGTTATTCGTCCTTCTGCAACCATCAGCATCTCCCAGGCATGGCCCTACACTCCCGGATGGAGGAAGGGAGAGTAAGCACATGCATGATGGCCCACTACTGCATGCTATCTGTGTACAAACACAGGGGCGACATAAACAAACTGTCTTGGCCTCCCATAAGCAAATTACACATTAATATGAATACTGTGAATACTGTACTGTGTAATGAACTGTGTGTGCCATTTCAGCAGAGTTCGCTGTGGTTTGCTGCCTTACAGCATCGGCTTGAGCTCTGTGATTATTCCTGTTCACGATTTAGGAGCGTAAAAATAGCAAATCACTGTGTGTATCCCTCATGGAAGTGATTATTTTTCTGTTCCAGCCGGGCCCAGAGGATAGGGAACTGTCATGTGTATGTATCTTCCTTAGCCAAACCCTCAGCCTAAAACAAGACTGTGGTACAGGGCGGTTGTCAGAACTCTATTGTTGCTTATCTAGATGTGGCTAATTTAGTCACATTTCTGAAAACTGTAACTACCATTCATGCTTAAATGACAACAATAATGTTAGTCACATAGATTTACTGTTAAATTAATCAATTAATGTAAACAATTACTTTTGAGATTGAACGCATTTATAGTCAACGTCTGAAATCGAAAACTGGAAAAGAGAATCTTATTATGATAATTTTAAGAATTAATATTCCAAAGACATCAAGGGCATGTCTAGACAATCAAGCATTCCTGATAAGAGTAATTATGTCATTGTTGAATGATAATGTGTAGATTAATTAAAAATCGAATTAATTAAATGTATATAGAATAGTGGAAAAGGCCGAATCTGCAAATATGACTGTATCAAGACATCATTCAGTGTAGATCTGTATTTACAGATTAATTGTAGGGTTAGTAGTGTTTCCTGGTCGAATTGCATGGTAAGGAAACATTTGATATTTCATAATATTTCACCATGGACAAAAAATAAAATCAGTAAACAGAGTAAAGATGAGGAATTATGTGATCCCTTAATTGATGTGTTTCTCCAGCTGGACATCCTGAATGTGTGTGCTTAAATCCTGAGGCAGATGAGAGAGTTTGTCTAAAGTGGAATCATATGGAGAGCAGAGCTGTGGGATGGAGGGATGGAGGGAAAACTCAGCAAAGCCTTGGCTCCACGGCAAAGCATCAATCAGGGATTAAATATACATCTCTGAAATGGACTACACTCCAATCCAATCACATCTGGCCAGCTGATCTCTTTGTGGATAGGAGGATTAATAGAATGAAAAGAGCAGTGGAACCAGAGCCGTATATGCATTACATGGGTCTGAGTGGTACAGTTGGCTGCAGTGGTCTGGTCTCTCCATCCACTATGGCTGCTTATGACAGGTCTTTGACAGGCATATGACAGGCCTATGACCCTTCATACTGCTCTCCATGGTGACAGCAATCATCTGTCCATGAGAGAGCAGAAAGGGGTTAGTGCAGAGCAGACAGGGCCAGATCCTCCCATAGACTCCCCTGCTTACCTTGCTGTTGCATCAGACAAAGCAATACGGGGTGTACATGTATTGTGTGTGTGTGTGTGTGTGTGTGTGTGTGTGTGTGTGTGTGTGTGTGTGTGTGTGTGTGTGTGTGTGTGTGTGTGTGTGTGTGGTGCTTTTGATGTATGTACTTTAGAATGTTTTAATTATAGCCTATGCCCGAGCTTTTCTTAGTTTTATTTTACAATTTGTATCATGTTAAATATTAGCCACCATCGGGAGCCACCGTTAGTAATATCCACATACATTTATAACTGTCATTTTAGTGTTAGTTTTCTTCAATTTTAGCTTCCATTTTGCATCATTCCATTCCGTTTACCTTTCTTTCCTCTGTCACGTCCATGTAAGTTGTTCCTGAGGGTTGCTAGCATTAGTGGATCATATTAGGCACTAAGTCGGGACATGTAGCCTATTTGAATCATTATGGAATACCAGCTACTGAGAAGTGCATAGGAAAGGCGTGCGTAAGAAAGGCGTAATTTCGGAATCGGGCCCATAGAGCGTACCAGCACATGATCAGAAGCAAGAGGAGCGGAGAAAGTACCGGGAGAGAAGGAGAGAGGAGTACATATTAAACCCACAGACACTGTTCTGTTCGTTCTCTCTCTCTCTCTCTCCTCATCCAGTATTAATACATTCTTAAATCCTCCCTCATCAGGGAGATGCAGCACATCATCCAACATGGAATATCAGCTCACTATCTGGATCACAAACATTAAACCAAAACATACAGGATTTCAGATCTATGCACAAGCTTGGATCTTTTGCCATTAACAGCCCTGTCTTGCCATTACCAGTCTGTGAATTTAGTTGCTTGTCATGCCGATAAAGCTTCTTGAATCGAAAATGTTTTATATTGATCAGAAGATGTTTGGATAAAAACCTTTTATTACATTAGAAAACATCATAATTTAAATGAGTAGATACCAGTTAAACAGTGGCAGAATGCACAGCACACACTGGACACAGAAGGCCAGAGCAGAGAGAGACATCCAGAGATGGAGATGGAGGCCTACAGTACAGTCCCAACCCAACAGTATCAGCACCAGTCATCAGTAGGCTACTAAAGTCAGTTCTGGGCCACAGACAGACGGAGAGCGAGCGAGCGAGAGAGAGAGAGAGAGAGAGAGAGAGCGAGAGAGAGAGAGAGAGAGAGGCTGGCTAACACTGCAATCCTGTTGGAGTGTGAAACTGGGTTACAAGGGTTACAGTTATAAATCTGTCCTGTACTCCCCCACGCCCATTCCCCAATTCTCAAATGTTCCCCATTCCCATCCATATTTCGATTGCTGCAGTCCGATATTCCTGGATCCCTCCCAGCCTAGTGGGAGAGAGAGAGAGAACAGAGAAAGAGAGGGAACAGAGAAATAGGCATCTCAAACAACTCCAGTCCATGAGAGAGAGATGTTGTAACTAAGAACCATCTGTTCAGGTTCTGTTGGCTGGGGTCTGGTCACTACGTTACCATAGAGAATGTCTGCTCTGTGACCCCCTTGGCTGACATCCGTGGATCTTGTTATACAGCGTAGAGTGGAGATCCATGTGGATCCCTCTACCTCATTGTCAGCAGATCCCTTGCAAAGATATATCTCGGAAAGATCCATCAATGTCTGTTTTGTGTTTGAGTATCATCACTATGTACTGTGGATGTCTGTGGATACACAACAAACACACACACCATTCAAACACAGTCTGTGGGTTTGACACGCCTTCTATTCATGTGTCCACCAGGCTTTGCGGCTCGTCAGGAAGTGTGTATATTCCTGTCCCACATGTGGTCTGTCAGGCCGTGTGTGTGTCTTGGGTCATATGATGTGTGTGTGTCCCTGTGTCACATGGAGGCGAGGCTCTGGAAGCCACAGAACTTCCAGCGTTTCTCCAGCGTGGCTCCCACTCCACTCAGCTCCTGTCTGAAGACACTGGGCAGACGACCCATCAGAGACTCCAACTCCCCCGCTGACACCTGGACGGGAGAGGGATGGGGACAGGTGACATCACCTAACGGGTCTTTCCTATTTGTGTCACAATTAGATGAGATTTCAGAAGCCCATTTCAGTTTCCCCCCCAGCTTTTTTCCCTTTCTCTATTTTAGTGACTATTTCATGTAAATAAACTGACCGTAGTGTCCAGTCTCTGGATGTAGGACCACAGATAGTCGATGTTGGCTCCGAACGGATGGACATGGAGGAAGGTAGATATGATGCCTGCAGAGACACAGGGAGAGATTGAGAGAGATGAGAGATAGAGAAGAGAGAGAGAGAAACATTGAGATAGAAAGAGATATAGAAAGATATATATATAGAGAGAGAGAGAGAGAGAGAGAGAGAGAGAGAGAGAGAGAGAGAGAGAGAGAGAGAGAGAGAGAGAGAGAGAGAGAGAGAGAGAGAACACAGAGAGAGGGAAGAGAAAGAACAGGCTGTTCAACTCCAGCTCTCCAGCAGAGCTGCAATCTGCATCTTGCCAACGTGCCGTGCAATAAATGCATCCCACGCCGCCATAAAGAACGCTGGTCCGAGCAGAAACAACACTTGAGTTGATTACTTGTGAGAGGTCCTGCAGATGTAGCACTTCAACTCAGGGGGAGAGAATATAGTGCGGTCCCCTGGGAACCCTGAGCCAATATTTATTCCCCTGATTTATATGATGGAACATTGCCCATTACAGACAGGACTAATTTACTCTCCTCAGCTACCACCACTCACACGGAACCACCACACTGCAGAAAGGGGGAAGGGAGGGTGTGATTGTGTGGGGGGTCTTAGTGTGTGCATGTGTGTGCTTGAGTGTCTGTGTTCACGTGTGTGTGCGTTCACTTCTATACGTGTTGTGGACGTGTTGTTGTGTGTGTCCATGAATGTGGATGCGTGTCTGTATGTGTTTGCGTGTGTGTAAAGGTGTGTGTCCCCTACAGAAAAATTTAAAGCCCAGAAGCTGTGGTGGCTGCGGTCAGAGGAGGCTGGTGGGAGGAGCTATAGGAGGATGGGCTCATTGTAATGGCTGGAATAGAATAAATGGAACAGTATCAGGGCGGCGCACAATTGGCCCAGCGTCGTCCAGGGTAGGGGAGGGAATGGCCGGCAGGGATGTAGCTCAGTTGGTAGAGCATGGCGTTTGCAACGGCAGGGTTGTGGGTTCGATTCCCACGGGGGGCCAGTATGAAAAATTATGTATGCACTCTGGATAAGAGCGTCTGCTAAATGACTAAAATGTAATGTAAATGTATCAAACACATCAAACGTATGGTAGCCACATGTTTGACTCCGTTCCATTAATTCTATTCCAGCCATTACAATGAGCCCGTCCTCCTATAGCTCCTCCCCACTAGCCCCCACTGGCTGCGGCAGGCTGGGAAGCAGGCAGGGTGGCTGGCTGGCAAGGAGATAGAGAGCTCTGCCTCTCCTCTCCTTCATGTTGGCTTTCTGTGGGCTGTGTTAAAATAAATAAATGTGCATCTGCCTACTCCTCTCTCCTCTCCTCTCTTCTCTTCTCCTCTGCTCTCTCTCTGCTCTCCTCTGCTCCAACCGGCTTCTGGCTTTGTTTTACACCAAGCAGGCTGCTTTCACCTCCCTGCAGCACCAAAAGGAGCTCCGCTTTCCAGCTGCTAATCTGAGAATTGGCACAGAACTATTTTGTGCTTGTGCCTACAGGAGATTCAGTCAGCGAACGGAAACAAAAGGAAAGCAGGCTGATAAAATGACTCCAGTCAGAATCAGAATAGAAGCTGCTTTCTTTTTGTGATGAAACTATATTTCTGGGAGCTGAAATGGAGGAGAGGTAGAGGGGGAGGAGAGAGGGAGAGGGGGAGGAGAGAGGGAGAGGGGGAGGAGAGAGGGAGAGGGAGAGGGGGAGGAGAGAGGGAGAGGGGGAGGAGATAGGGAGAGAGGGAGGAGAGAGGGAGAGGTAGAGGGGGGAGGATAGAGGGAGAGGGGGATGAGAAAGGGAGAGGGGGAGGAGAGAGGGAGAGGGAGAGGGGGAGGAGAGAGGGAGAGAGGGAGGAGAGAGGGAGAGGTAGAGGGGGAGGATAGAGGGAGAGGGGGATGAGAGAGGGAGAGGGGGAGGAGAGAGGGAGAGGTAGAGGGGGAGGATAGAGGGAGAGGGGGAGAACAGCCACGGGAGAATTAGGCAATTTGTGTTCTACAGTCAGTAACTTTCTCTCCTCTCGCCTGGAACCGGTTTGTATTTTCTTCTGTTCTGGCTGACGGCGTCCTCGTCTATCTCAGTGTCCCCGGCGCCCTGCGATGAAGTGTGTTTCTGTGTGTGAACACAACCCCAGCACTGCCGTGTGCAGCTGGGAGAGATAATGTGTGTGTGGGTGTATGTGCGTGCATGCATGCGTGTGTTTGCATGTGCCTATGTTCGGTGGGGATAAGTCGATGTGTGTGTGGCCAGGGCCAGTGAGTACTGCTTGGCAACCAGACACACATTACCTCTCCCCTGAGCCCCCCTCCACCCAGTCCTTTGGTTCTTCATCCAAGAACATGACAGACCTAACTGGTCTCAGAGCAAAAAATACTACATTTTACAAAATCCGTGCCACTCCATGTAGTATGATACACTACATGACCAAAAGTATGCTCGTCGAATATCTCATTCCAAAATCATGGGCATTAATATGGAGTTGGTCCCCCCTTTGCAGCTATAACATCCTCCACTCTTCTGGGAAGGCTTTCCACTAGATGTTGGAACATTGCTGCAGGGACTTGCTTCCATTCAGCCACAAGAGCATTAGTGAGGTCGGCCACTGATGTTGGGCAATTAGGCCTGGCTCGCAGTCGGCATTCCAATTCATCCCAAAGGTGTTCAATGGGGTTGAGGTGAGGGCTCTGTCCAGGCCAGTCCAGTTCTTCCACACCGATCTCGACAAACCATTTCTGTATATACCTCGCTTTGTGCACGGGGGCATTGTCATGCTGAAACAGGAAAGGGCCTTCCCCAAACTGTTGCCACAAAGTTTGGAAGCACAGAATCATCTAGAATGTCATTGTATGCTATAGCGTTAAGATTTCCCTTCACTGGAACTAAGGGGCCTAGCCCGAACCATGAAAAACAGCCCCAGACCATTATTCCTCGTCCACCAAACTTTACAGTTGGCACTATACATTGGGGCAGGTAGCGTTCTCCTTGCATCCGCCAAACCCAGATTAATCCGTCAGACTGCTAGATTGTGAAGCGTGATTCATCACGCGCTTTAGCACTCGGTGGTCCCGTTCTGTGAGATTGTGTGGCCTACCACTTCGCGGCTGAGCCGTTGTTGCTCCTAGATTTTTCCACTTCACAATAACAGCACTTACAGTTGACCGGGGCAGCTCTAGCAGGGCAGAAATTTGACAAACTTTGCTGGAAAGGTGGCATCCTATGACGGTGCCACGTTGAAAGTCACTGAGCTCTTCAGCAAGGCCATTCTACTGCCAATGTTTGTCTATGGAGATTGCATGGCTGTGTGCTCAAATCCACTCATTTGAAGGGTTGCCCACATACTTTTGTTAGGTTAGGAGTTAAGGTTAGGGTTAAGGTTAGGGTTAGGAGTTAGGTTGAAGGGTTAAGGTTAGGGTTAGGGTTAGGGGAAGGGGAAGCGAACATGCTAAGTAGTTGCAAAGTAGCTAAAAAGTAGTAAGCAGTTGCAAAGTTTCTAATTAGCTAAAATGCTAAAGTTGTCCGTAATGAGATTTGAACACGCAACCTTTGGGTTACTAGATGTTCACATTATACGCCCGACCAACCACCCTCCTTTTATTTTTGCCTTAATTAACCTCCTGTCATACCAAATTTAACATATCATACCTATTTAAGTGTCCCAGATTTAAGTAGGCCAATGTAATGTAACCTAACGTAAAGTAACATATACTAAATGGAATGGCATGGATTTTAATAAAATATAATATGTTTTGCTCTGAGACCAGGCTGGACAGACAGGCTTGGGCTGTTTCAAGACTGTTTCACCCCATTAACAACTGGCCCCCCTCCAACATTTTTTATTTATTTTTATTTAACCTTTATTTAACCTGGTAAGCCAGTTGAGAACAAGTTCTCATTTACAACTGCGACCTGGCCAAGATAAAGCAAAGCAGTGCTGAAAAAACAACAACAACACAGAGTTACATATGGAATAAACAAAACATACAGTCAATAACACAATAGAAAATCTATATACAGTGTGTGGAAATGTAATAATATATGGAGATAAGGCAATAAATAGGCCATTACTTACAATTATAACATGTCTAACCCCAACCATTAAAACACTCCCAGTTACAGGCGATAATTTGACAATCCAGATAATATTATGCTTTGTAGTATACATAAGCTGTATATGTACTGTATGTTATAGATAGTAGATGATGTTACCCAGTAGCAGAGCCTCCCTCTCTGATGTGAGGGGTCCTCTCATTGCTGCTTCACTCCTCCTGTCTCTGCTGCGGTACAGAGTGGTCGCACAGCCGTTCACTACCTACAGACACACACACACACAACACAGTGTTGGTCCTTATAGACACACAAACGCAATGGGAGCTGATATGTGTGTGCACTCATTGGGGTGGTGTTATTTTTATGAGAGAGAGGAGAGTGGCTGGTGCTACTGGTTTTACTCCATTGGGATTCCCCCCTCTCCTTCTCCTTCTCCTCTCCTCTCTTCACCAGTCCATCTCTGCCTTTCACAGGGCACAAGGGACATACACAGTAACCCACTACAAACCATAACCCCTCAACAAACACCAATTTACTTACCCCCCATATAATAATAAATAATAATAATAATTAGTCATTTAGCAGACGCTCTTATCCAGAGCGACTTACAGGAGCAATTAGGGTTAAGTGCCTTGCTCAAGGGCACATCGACAGATTTTTCACCTAGTCGGTTCGGGGATTAGAACCAGCGACCTTTCGGTTACTGGCACAACGCTCTTAACCACTAAGCTACCTGCCGCCCTATACCCCCCCACCCTTAATGCATAGGCCTACCCCCTGCTCTGAAGACGTCATCAGACGCTGACGTCTCCTCACACTGGCTGGCTGGGTCAATAAAATCACTCAAGAAGAGGGTACAGAGATGTTGATTGCATGTGAGTGAGTGTGTGTGTGTGTGTGTGTGTGTGTGTGTGTGTGTGTGTGTGTGTGTGTGTGTGTGTGTGTGTGTGTGTGTGTGTGTGTGTGTGTGTGTGTGTGTGTGTGTGTGTGTGTGTACAGGAGGCTGGAGAGGGGAGGACAGCTCATAATAATGGCTGGATTGGAATGGATGGAATGGTATCATACATATGGAAACCATGTGTTTGATATGTTTGATACCATACCATTTATTCCGTTCCAGCCATTACTATGTGCTGTCCTCCCCAATTAAGGTGCCACCAGCTGCCTGTGGTGTTCAGTATTGTGTGCGTACTGTATAGTGGTGTATGTTGGGGAGGACTGACCTTCTCAGGTGTTTCTCCGTTGGTCCCCTCCACTACCACTACATCCCCGTTAGTCAGCATCTGAAAACAAGACACACAGAGAACAAGACAGAGACTAACATCAAGTACTGACCATTCAACACTGGTAACAAGCAGAGGCATAGAGCATGGTCTTAGTAACAGAAGCAGGATCCAAGTAGATGTTGTTTAATGTAGAATCTTTAGACTGTATGGAAACAATGTATCCTCCCTGGAGGTTCCATCTCTCCTTTTATTTGTTCATCTATCTATTCATTTGATCCATCTATCCACTGGCAGCTGAATACACTCTTTCTCCACAGGAGCTCTATTCTAATTCATGTTCCCATTACCTCACTCCAATAACAATCATAAAACAGTTACAGTTAGCATAATCAGATAGAATCAGAAAGGTACTCATCCATCCACTGGTTGTATTATTCTCAGCAGTGGAGTGTATTCATGGATGCCAAGGAAAGCAAGGTTTCCACATTAATTTGACCAATGATACAGGCAAATTATTATAACGTAGATTCCAGTGGTGTAAAGTACTTAGGTAAAAATACTTTAAAGTACTACTTAAGTAGTTTTTTGGGGTATCTGTACTTAACTATTTATATTTTTTACAACTTTTACTTCACTACATTACTAAAGAAAATGATGTACTTTTTACTCCATACATTTTCCCTGACAATCAAAAGTACTTGTTACATTTTGAATGCTTACCAGGACAGGAAAATTGTCAAATTCACACACTTATCAAGAGAACATCCCTGGTCATCCCTACTGCCTCTGATCTGGTGGACTCACTAAACACAAATGCTTCGTTTATAAATTATGTCTGAGTGTTGGAGTGTGCCGGCTATCAGTAAATACAAAATAAAATAAGAATCGTGCCATCTGGTTTGCTTAATATAAGGAATTTGAAATTATTTGTACTTTTACTTTTGATACTTAAGTATATTTTAGCAATTACATTTACTTTAGATACTTAAGTATATTTAAAACCAAATACTTTTTGACTTTTACTCAGGTAGTATTTTACTGGGTGACTTTCACTTAAGTCATTTTCTATTAAGGTATCTTTACTTTTACTGAAGTATGAAAATTGGGTACTTTTTCCACCACTGGTAGATTCTGATCTAACCATAAACTCAAACATTGTGCCACTGGCTTGAGACGATTGAAGTTCAATATGTGGCCTAGATGTAATAGGTTCATGTTAACTAGCTAGCTAGCTAGCTAACTTAGCTGGTTAATTGTTGCCCATGCGAGAAAGTTAGGCTAGCAAGCATTTTAGCCAGGTAGCCTAGTCTAGGACAACAACAACTAAAAGTGTTTACTACTGTATGACAGTCATAGACCGTTTTGCCAACATGACAGAGAGGATGGCATTGGGGTTCATCTAGTCTACAAGTAGGTTCTAAATCAGTAGATGTATAGTAAACTATCCAAATCATGAATTGACTTGACCATGCTGTAGGCCAGCTGAATTCAAAGTAGGGGTTAACATTTTTAGGAACAAAAAATGAAGAGAACCAATTATTGTATGGGACAATATACAGTGGGGGAAAAAAGTATTTAGTCAGCCACCAATTGTGCAAGTTCTCCCACTTAAAAAGATGAGAGAGGCCTGTAATTTTCATCATAGGTACACGTCAACTACGACAGACAAATTGAGGAAAAAAAATCCAGAAAATCACATTGTAGGATTTTTTATGAATTTATTTGCAAATTAAGGTGGAAAATAAATATTTGGTCACCTACAAACAAGCAAGATTTCTGGCTCTCACAGACCTGTAACTTCTTCTTTAAGAGGCTCCTCTGTCCTCCACTCGTTACCTGTAATAATGGCACCTGTTTGAACTTGTTATCAGTATAAAAGACACCTGTCCACAACCTCAAACAGTCACACTCCAAACTCCACTATGGCCAAGACCAAAGAGCTGTCAAAGGACACCAGAAACAAAATTGTAGACCTGCACCAGGCTGGGAAGACAGAATCTGCAATAGGTAAGCAGCTTCGTTTGAAGAAATCAACTGTGGGAGCAATTATTAGGAAATGGAAGTCATACAAGACCACTGATAATCTCCCTCGATCTGGGGCTCCACGCAAGATCTCACCCCGTGGGGTCAAAATGATCACAAGAACGGTGAGCAAAAATCCCAGAACCACACGGGGGGACCTAGTGAATGACCTGCAGAGAGCTGGGACCAAAGTAACAAAGCCTACCATCAGTAACACACTACGCCGCCAGGGACTCAAATCCTGCAGTGCCAGACGTGTCCCCCTGCTTAAGCCAGTACATGTCCAGGCCCGTCTGAAGTTTGCTAGAGTGCATTTGGATGATCCAGAAGAGGATTGGGAAAATGTTATATGGTCAGATGAAACCAAAATATAACTTTTTGGTAAAAACTCAACTCGTCATGTTTGGAGGACAAAGAATGCTGAGTTGCATCCAATGAACACCATACCTACTGTGAAGCATGGGGGTGGAAGCATCATGCTTTGGGGCTGTTTTTCTGCAAAGGGACCAGGACGACTGATCCGTGTAAAGGAAAGAATGAATGGGGCCATGTATCGTGAGATTTTGAGTGAAAACCTCCTTCCATCAGCAAGGGCATTGAAGATGAAACGTGGCTGGGTCTTTCAGCATGACAATGATCCCAAACACATCGCCCGGGCAACGAAGGAGTGGCTTCGTAAGAAGCATTTCAAGGTCATGGAGTGGCCTAGCCAGTCTCCAGATCTCAACCCCATAGAAAATCTTTGGAGGGAGTTGAAAGTCTGTGTTGCCCAGCGACAGCCCCAAAACATCACTGCTCTAGAGGAGATCTGCATGGAGGAATGGGCCAAAATACCAGCAACAGTGTGTGAAAACCTTGTGAAGACTTACAGAAAACGTTTGACCTGTGTCATTGCCAACAAAGGGTATATAACAAAGTATTGAGAAACTTTTGTTATTGACCAAATACTTATTTTCCACCATAATTTGCAAATAAATTCATTAAAAATCCTACAATGTGATTTTCTGGATTTTTTTTTCTCATTTTGTCTGTCATAGTTGACGTGTACCTATGATGAAAATTACAGGCCTCTCTCATCTTTTTAAGTGGGAGAACTTGCACAATTGGTGGCTGACTAAATACTTTTTTTCCCCACTGTATATACTAAACACATACACTACCGGTGAAAAGTTTTAGAACACCTACTCATTCAAGGTTTATTTTTTATTTTTACTATTTTCTACTTTGTATAATAATAGTGCAGACATCAAAACTATGACATAACACATATGGAATCATGTAGTAACCAAAAAAGTGTTAAACAAATCAAAATATATTTTATATTTGAGATTCTTCAAATAGCCACCCTTTGCCTTGATGACATTTGTTACTTTTCATTTTGATAAGGGATGAAAATGCAATGAATGGAAGGTTTTTAATTCTTGGGGAAAAAATGGAGGACCAGGGGGGACGAGGGTGGAGCAGGGCTAGCCTCAGAAGAAAGGACAAACGCACATGCACACGCACACACACACACGCTGCTGCCTGCTGTCTGCTGCCTGCTGTCTGCTGCCTGCTGTCTGCTGCCTGCTGTCTGCTGCCTGCTGTCTGCTGCCTGGGCTCTCAGACCATCTTGAGAGGAAGTTTGAGCCATTTGAGCCATTTCAGAGTCTGGCATGCTCGGAGAGGAGTGAGTGGGTTCGGAAGAGTGAGAGGATGAGGGGGATGAGAGGACAAATTGAGGGAGGGGGATTGAGAGGACATGGGGGGAGGGGGAGAGCGGACCACATGGGGGGAGGGGGATGAGAGGACATGAGTGGGGGATGAGAGGACATGAGGTATGTGATGAGGACATGGAGGGGATGAGAGAATGGGGGAGGGGGATGAGAGGACATGGAGGTTAGGGGGTGAGAGGACATGGGGGGGTTAGGGGGATGAGAGGACATGGGGGAGGGGATGAGAGGACATGGAGGGAGGGGGAGAGAGGACATGGAGGGAGGGGGATGAGAGGACATGGAGGTTAGGGGATGAGAGGACATGGGTGGGGATGAGAGGGACATGGAGGGAGGGGTATGAGAGGACCATGGAGGGAGGGGGATGAGAGGAATGAGGTGGGATGAGAGGGACATGGAGGAGGGGGGATGAGAGGACATGGAGGTAGGGATGAGAGGACATGGGGGAGGGAATTGAGAGGCATGGAGGGAGGGGGATGAGAGGACATGGGATGGGGGGGAGAGAGGACCTGGAGGTAGGGGATGAGAGGACATGGAGGGAGGGGGATGAGAGGACATGGGGAGGGAGAGTAGGCATGGTGGTTAGGGGATGAGAGGACATGGAGGGAGGGAGATGAGGACATGGGAGGGGAGGGGGCTGATGAGGAATGGAGGGAGTGGGGATGAGAGGCAATGGAGGGAGGGGATGAGAGGACATGGAGGTGTAGGGGGATGAGAGAGACATGGAGGGAGGGGGATGAGAGGACATGGAGGGGGGGGATGAGAGGACATGGGGGAGGAGGGGGGATGAGAGTGACATGGGGCGAGGGGGATGAGAGGACATGGAGGGAGGGGATGAGAGGACATGGAGGAGGGGATGAGAGGACATGGAGGGAGGGGGATGAGAGGACATGGAGGGAGGGGGATGAGAGGAAATGGAGGGAGGGGGATGAGAGGACATGGAGGTTAGGGGGATGAGAGGACATGGAGGTTAGGGGGATGAGAGGACATGGAGGTTAGGGGATGAGAGGACATGGAGGGAGGGGATGAGAGGACATGGAGGGAGGGGATGAGAGGACATGGAGGGAGGGGGATGAGAGGACATGGAGGGAGGGGTATGAGAGGACATGGAGTTAGGGGAATGAGAGGACATGGAGGGAGGGGATGAGAGGACATGGAAGGAGGGGGATGAGAGGACATGGAGGGAGGGGGATGAGAGGACATGGAGGGAGGGGTATGAGAGGACATGGAGGTTAGGGGAATGAGAGAACATGGAGGTTAGGAGAATGAGAGGACATGGAGGTTAGGGGAATGAGAGGACATGGAGGCAGGGAGTTGAGAGGACATGGAGGGAGGGGAATGAGAGGGATGAGAGGGAGATAAAGGGGGATGCTGCTACTGTGGCCATGTTGCGATGTTTTTCTCCCGCAGAGAGATGAGTGGTGCGACCTCAGGCTGGTGTGTGTGTGTGTGTGTCTACTGAGGGAGAGCCACTTGTGTAGAAACTACAATAGAAAGAGACAGAGATAGATAAAGAGGAGGGAGATAAAGAGGAGGGCGATAAAGAGGAAGGAGATAAAGAGGAGGGAGATAAAGAGGAGGGAGATAAAGAGGAAGGAGATAAAGAGGAAGGAGATAAAGAGGAGGGGGATAAAGAGGAGATATATAAAGAGGAGGGAGATAAAGAGGAGGGAGATCAAGAGGAGGGAGATAAAAAGGAAGGAGATAAAGAGGAGGGAGATAAAGAGGAGGGAGATAAAGAGGAGGATAAAGTGGGGGGAGATAAAGAGTAAGGGAAATAAAGAGGAGGGAGATAAAGAGGAGGGAGATAAAGAGGAGGATAAAGAGGAGGGAGATAAAGAGGAAGGGGGATAAAGAGGAAGGGGATAAAGAGGAGGGAGATAATGAGGAGGGAGATAATGAGGAGGGAGATAAAGAGAATATTTGAACAGACAGCTATAGTAGCCTACAAAAAGAAATACTAGACTGCCACTACATCAAAACCATGTCTCTAACTCCCTCCTGCAGTCTGTATGTTTCACCATATATACATTTATATCCTTGTCGGTTACTCAGTATGTTAAAGGCCCAACAGTCAACCCTACAGAGCTCAGGGGCCTCCTTTGCAATGTACTCATATACGATACAGTACAGTGTGTTATCTGAAGGATCAGCAATAGGCACACCCTGGTACTGTTATGTATAAGGAGGTTCTCTTTGCCGTTTGTTTCTCTATATCTTTATATCTTCATAACCATCATGACTCAGAACCCTACACTCCCATCTGGATCAGTGCGTGTGAGTTTACACGCTTGTGTGGGTCTATGTGTGTGTGTTTACGCATTTGTGTGCATGCATGTTCTCTCACCTTGTCTCTCAGGGCTAGGACCTCTCCCTCCAGGTATCTGTGTTCGTCTCTAGCCTGCTCCAGCTCCACCTCCTTACTCCTCAGCTGATCCTGCAGACTCAGCAGTTGCTGGGAGGAGAGAGAGACACACAGAGAAACAGAGTTACACAATAGACCTCAACACAGTTAGATAGAGAGACACACAGAGAAACAGAGTTACACAATAGACCTCAACACAGTTAGATAGAGAGACACACAGAGAAACAGAGTTACACAATAGACCTCAACACAGTTAGATAGAGAGACACACAGAGAGACAGAGTTACACAATAGACCTCAACACAGTTAGATAGAGAGACACACAGAGAAACAGAGTTACACAATAGACCTCAACACAGTTAGATAGAGACACACAGAGAGACAGAGTTACACAATAGACCTCAACACAGTTAGATAGAGAGACACACAGAGAGACAGAGTTACACAATAGACCTCAACACAGTTAGATAGAGAGACACACAGAGAGACAGAGTTACACAATAGACCTCAACACAGTTAGATAGAGAGACACACAGAGAGACAAAGTTACACAATAGACCTCAACACAGTTAGATAGAGAGACACACAGAGAGACAGAGTTACACAATAGACCTCAACACAGTTTAGATAGAGAGACACACAGAGAGACAGAGTTACACAATAGACCTCAACACAGTTAGATAGAGAGACACACAGAGAGACAGAGTTACACAATAGACCTCAACACAGTTAGATAGAGAGACACACAGAGAAACAGAGTTACACAATAGACCTCAACACAGTTAGATAGAGAGACACACAGAGAAACAGAGTTACACAATAGACCTCAACACAGTTAGATAGAGAGACACACAGAGAAACAGAGTTACACAATAGACCTCAACACAGTTAGATAGAGAGACACACAGAGAAACAGAGTTACACAATAGACCTCAACACAGTTAGATAGAGAGACACACAGAGAAACAGAGTTACACAATAGACCTCAACACAGTTAGATAGAGAGACACACAGAGAAACAGAGTTACACAATAGACCTCAACACAGTTAGATAGAGAGACACACAGAGAAACAAGTTACACAATAGACCTCAACACAGTTAGATAGAGAGACACACAGAGAAACAGAGTTACACAATAGACCCTCAACACAGTTAGATAGAGAGACACACAGAGAAACAGAGTTACACATAGACCTCAACACAGTTAGATAGAGAGACACACAGAGAAACAGAGTTACACAATAGACCTCAACACAGTTAGATAGAGAGACACACAGAGAAACAGAGTTACACAATAGACCTCAACACAGTTAGATAGAGAGACACACAGAGAAACAGAGTTACACAATAGACCTCAACACAGTTAGATAGAGAGACACACAGAGAAACAGAGTTACACAATAGACCTCAACACAGTTAGATAGAGAGACACACAGAGAAACAGAGTTACACAATAGACCTCAACACAGTTAGATAGAGAGACACACAGAGAAACAGAGTTACACAATAGACCTCAACACAGTTAGATAGAGAGACACACAGAGAAACAGAGTTTACACAATAGACCTCAACACAGTTAGATAGAGAGACACACAGAGAAAACAGAGTTACACAATAGACCTCAACACAGTTAGATAGAGAGACACACAGAGAAACAGAGTTACACAATAGACCTCAACACAGTTAGATAGAGAGACACACAGAGAAACAGAGTTACACAATAGACCTCAACACAGTTAGATAGAGAGACACACAGAGAAACAGAGTTACACAATAGACCTCAACACAGTTAGATAGAGAGACACACAGAGAAACAGAGTTACACAATAGACCTCAACACAGTTTGATAGAGAGACACACAGAGAGACAGTTACACAATAGACCTCAACACAGTTAGATAGAGAGACACACAGAGAGACAAAGTTACACAATAGACCTCAACACAGTTAGATAGAGAGACACACAGAGAGACAGTTACACAATAGACCTCAACACAGTTTGATAGAGAGACACACAGAGAGACAAAGTTACACAATAGACCTCAACACAGTTAGATAGAGAGACACACAAAGAGACAGTTACACAATAGACCTCAACACAGTTAGATAGAGAGACACACAGATAGACAAAGTTACACAATAGACCTCAACACAGTTAGATAGAGAGAAAGTGCTGGGAGGACAAAAACAACAGAGAAGGTGACGAACACAGAGGAGACACCAGTAAGCAGGAACAACAGCAGGCAGAGGTCTGACTGTGTTGTGGTCTGGGTCCGGTTATAAAGGGAGGGAGTGTGAACGTGGTAGACAGGTCAGTCAGAATACATCAAAGTGATGTGTAGCTGCACTGTCCCTAATACTCTTTGTTCCTAGGTACCGCTGCTATGGCCTTTAATTACCTTTTGCTAGTGAAAGCACAGGTACACATACCTGCAGCATGTGATGGTAGTGTTGGCACTGTATTGTATTGAAGGTACTGTATCTCAATTACTGTTGGTATAAGCACATTCCCAATAGTGGAATCACAGGTGGAATATGATACAGGCGTAGATGGTGTAATATTGTACCTGATGCATGTTGTGCATGCTCTGCTGTAGTAGGTGTGTGTGTCTGTCAGGGGGGTGTTCGGGGTCGTCGGGGTGGCAGGACTTGACCTGCTCCTTCCTCAGCAGCTCCACCTCGTTCCTGTAGGCGTCCAGCTGCCAGCGCAGAGAGTCATTCTCCTCCCTCAGAGAGGCCCCAGACTGGCCACACACTCCTGGAGAGGAGGACGGGAGAGAGGGTTAGACACAAGACACACACACAAACACACATACGCATGCATGCACGCACCCGCACGCACACACACAAACTGCAGTGAGTCAACTCTCTACCCAACCTGTGAGGTTCTGAGTCACTGGAAGTGGAGGTATCTGTTGTTCTCTCTCCTCCTCCATACATGTCATGTATTCAGGACACATGAAAGGGAGCTGTTCAGAGCTGCTCAGTAAAGCACTGCTGTCCTTTCAACAGGCTCTTTCAGCAGGCATTAGAATAGGCTGCAGCATTGGAGCAGAGCAGTAATAGATTGTGAAGTGTTCTGAATCTGAGCAGCTTGGTCACTGTACCACCACAGCCCATCTATAACATCCCATCACATCCCAGCTGCTAGATCATTCTTCCTGCCATCTGACTGGCAGTGTCTAGGTTTCTGGGGCTGTGTGACAGGTCATGAACAATCCTCCACGGCATAAAGTTACCTATCTACCACCAATATATACTGTAGCAGTCTGGTGATTCATGAGCTACAGTGGCCTGCCATCATTAAAAGGTACAAGTGCCTAGGGGCTAGCAGCTAGGAGATAAGCACTAGGGCCTAGAACCTAAGAGTAAGTTTGGGATTGGGCCTGTGTCTGTCCTACCGTTGTCCTCCCTGCGTATCTTCTTACAGGGGCTCTCATCCGAGTCGTCGTCAGACATCTCCATCTCCTCCTCCCGTCGAATCCCCATGATCTCCTCACAATGGGCGTTCCGCAGCTCCTGTCACATCACAACACAAGGACACAAACAGGGCAAGGACCCCTCAGTGTCTCAGTCCTATACACCCAACCAGATGCCTGTCTAAAGATGGTTTCAACCAGACTGCCCTTTTAAGGATGGTTTCTAACTTAATATATTGTACCTGTGGACAGAGTCTGTGGTGGAAGAGGATTCAATTACCCCTAGACAGAACTATGGTCAACTGAGTCATTCCACCTCAAAAAGCACAAGAAAGAGGATTTCGACACCCACCATCTCCCCCAAAGTTCCCGAGCATGGCTTGCTGAAATGACATGGAATCACCCAATTTGTTTTCCTTCCACAATGGTTAAGGTTAGGATTTAGGGGGTAAGGTAAACTGATCCTAGATCTGTGCCTATGGGCAGTTTGAATGCTTCCTTTTTTTCACATGCTAAAGACAGAGGAGCATATAAATCATCTCATTCTCCCAGCTGCTCTGATAACTAGTACTGTCTCAGCTGTGAGGCTGTCTAATACCACCACTGTGAAATCTCTCCTCAGATAGAGTAAATGTGCTTAGCAATGACTCAACTAGGGGAGAGAGCGATAGAGTTATGAGAGGGAAATGGAGAGAGAGAAAGGGAGAGAGGGTTGGAGGGAGAGTTTTGTTATGTGTGACTGTGAGCACAGAAAGCCTCAGCTGCAGCACTGAACCAGCCAGAGCCTTTTTCTTAGAAGCTACAGTAGGGCATGAAGTCTCAGAAATCCAATGGTGTTCAGAGCCTTATCTGATCTCATGATTTCTGCCATCTCCATTATCAGTTCATAATAAAACTGTAATTTCATACTACTGTCATGGAGGATGTTGATACTGACATCAGTAGCTAATTAATTCACAGCCATTTGTCATAGTTAATCTATGACGGTTCAGGGTGCAGACTTTCCTTACTTTAACCACTTGAACATTTACCAAGCATACTACTGACCCTTAACAAAGGATTTCACAATGGTGGCATGCTAGCAAGACTCACTCCATAGTTTTACTGTTAGTGTCTCTTCTTCCAAATCAATGCCTTACCTCTGATTGCTTTGAGAATAGACATAGCATGATTCCTTTCTTACTGACTTGACTTAGAGACAGGTATGAACATAGAGGGCTTACAGTATGAATGATCATATAAGGTTATAGAGATTCTCCAGTGCTTTTGTATACTTTTTAGCCAGTAGTTCTGAAGGTAGTGCTCACGAGCCAAAAGTGGTCCCCGAAAATACGTCACATATGTGCAGAGATGTGCACCACATCATTGCTCTCTCTCTCTCGCTCTGCTGTGTGTGCATCTTGCTAGCTGTCACTTAAATGGCAAGGGGCTAAAGCTCATTGGCTAGAACTCTAATTGCTAGGGGGCTGGCGCAGCACAGCATCCAGAAAAACAGTCGCTTTCAAACTAGGGATTTCGTGCCTAATTGAGGTAATTCTGCAGATAGATAATGCATGTATGACCTACACATTGACACATCCAGCCCAAAGCGGGAGGTTTAAAAAATACTTAGTAGTTGCCAAAGTTCTGGAGCATGTCTTTAACATTTGCCTGGATAATGCTGGCCCCCACAGATAGACACTCTCAAATACCTGGTCATTACTTTTAATTCACTTCAATAAATCGTCATGGTCTCCATATGGCCAAATCAAGACCAAGGGGGTGTAAAATAATCAATGATTCAGATCTAGGTTTGTGCAATGTTTCTACAACCAAATATATCCCCATTCTATGAGATCAATAGGATGTTTTTGTTTAGTTCTAATGAAAGTGATAACTAACATGTGTTTCCCTCCTGTAGAGAATATTCCAGCATGCTGACTTGTTATAATTCCAATGAATTATTGATCTGTCTTAACCCTGGAAGCCTCTGTTGCCATAGCACCCACTCACACTTTCTAGGAGGCGTCAGATCTTTAGTTACTGTCATCTGCGCGCGCGTGTGTGTTTCATCAATGTGAGAAAAAGTCTACGAATAGTACTGTAGGAGAGTAACACACAGCATCCGTAGATCAGAACAACATGGCTGTCTGTCCATCTGTCTGTGTATCTGTGAGGGCACAGCAGTCTGCAACAACGGCAACATGAAACACAGTAGCACTCAATCCTTCTAGAGTGTCTGTCTGTCAATCTCTCCTGTCCTGAGGGGTCCAAACATGACAAGGAATAAGGGGGTAAGGAGAGAGTACCAACCTCACACTGCTTTCTCCAAATGTCTATGTTCTTGCGCTGCGCTTTAGTGAAATGGTCCCATGCCTTCTGCCTGGAGGCAGCGGTGAACACAGCCGTGATCTGCTCAACTTGGGGTGAACAGGAGAGTCAAGACAAGACAAGACTTTATGTAGAGCTTAGATCCTACTGTACCACCCAGGCACAACACCACAGAGAAGACACTAGGAGCTTCATCCTGCCAGCCTGGGTTAGTGGATCCCATTGCATTTACCTGTACCACCCACCAACATATTGAGAATCATTGTGTGGGCTGTGATTTTTACACATTATTTTTGTTGGTTTGTAGGGCCTCATATGTTAAATGCTGGTCGTAGTGTAACCTGGTGTCTCCTTCACGGTGCTGTACAGTACTTACATCTCATACCTGCTGATTCAGTTCCTTCAGGACTGACAAAGACAACATTCTACAATGGATGGCTCGCTTTGTGATACTAGACATACTATTGAATTTACATAAAAGGAGTATTTTGTCATTAATCATTCATAACTCTTTTGAAAATGTTGTATTTACTGTAGTCATCACTATTCTCCCCACCAGTAGAATAATGTTACCTTTAAAGCTTGGCTCTGTTCTGATTGCATACTGTCATATTTATCTTCAATAAACAACAGGAACTTTAAATAGTGTCATTATTACTACTGGACAAGAGCACTGTGACCAGGTCAACATTAAAGCTACACCCCCTCATCATCCTCTACGTCTACTCCGGTGATTTAATTCATATCTCTGGACTTTGCTTCATGGATTTTCATATTAAAGCAACAGCAGAGGACTATTTAGCTCAGTTTTTCTTCTCAGTGTTGAGCATAAAAAAATTACAATAAAATGATGACTATTTAAACAGTAATTAGCCATTGATCAATCTTGTTGTTGTCTCATTGTCTTTCCAGATGGTATTTCATATCATTTCAATATCAGTCCATAGTGTACATTGACATTGTTTGAGAGTGCCTGCTGGAGGGATACTGTTCTATGATGCCTACCTGGGAGGTACAGTAGGTAGATCAGCTGGTCCTCTCCTGTAGAAAGCTCCAGACAGACACACAGAGGTTTCCTCAGGACACTGTACTGTCCTTACCTCTGTGTGGTCTCTGACTACTGTCACCCTCCTAACTATAGGCTCATCACCGCACAGCTGTATAGAACAACTGGTCTTTACTGCTATGTTGGAGGTACCTGTAGTGCACTGTGTCTAGGAAGGGTTTATGAGAATAAAGTGTTACAGGTAGAGGGAGCGTGTATTAAAAGGTAGTGTATAGTGTGTCTAGTTAGATGCTTACACTGAGTCAGTATGGCCAGCAGGGAGTTTTTAAACGTCTCCTTGGTTAGCTCCATCTCTTCCTCGTGCTGGGCCTTCTCACTCATCAGCCTCCGGACGTGGCTATTGGCTGACTGGATCATAGAGTAGAAGTGATTGGCCGACCGCCGGTTGACCTCACCACGGTCGATCCATGTGAATAGGACCGCAGTCGCTTCACTGAACTTATGGTCATCTGGAGGGGGATGATGGGGGAGAAGGAGGGGAGAGGTTTAAGGCTGGGGGTTTAAAACAGTGAAGCTGAAAGCCTATGAAAATGCACTTGGGTAGTCCATGAAATAAATGATATGGCCATGTACTTTGAAGAAATTCTACTTCTATCTTCCCCTCCATGCTTCAGTCCACAGAAACTGAACAGCATGGCGAGATTAACTATCAGACTGTTTCATATCCTCTGAGTGCCTGTGGATGAGACCACAGTCTGCTCTGAACACAAAATGCATTTCTGGGTTTGAATCAGCAGAAACTGGTTGTTGAGCGAGTGTATCCTCTTTAACTGTCTGTGTCTCGGTGGGCCTTTGTCAAGTGCATTCTTCACATTTGAATAATAATTGAAACGTGCCAAAGAGCCGTGTCCGATCGCACAGCGCAGAGTGAATTAGAAATCGTTTAACGAGTTCAATACCCACTGCAACACGACCTGAGAGCACACAGATGCTTGGATGAAAACACTTTCCACCTCACAGCTCTAGTCCTATTCAGGAGAGGCAGCAGCGTACAATCATACAGTCATATTATAATGCAGTCACATGAAGGTATTGTGGGCCAGCACAACACAGGGAATAATGGAAGTATATTTCCCCAGCCTTTTGAATGAATAATCAAATCAAAATATCTCACAGTGTTTGGCTATGTGTAATATTAAATGGAAAGTGTGGAGCACTAAAACTCTCTATAGTAATAGCCAGTGGTGTAGTGTAGGGTAAACCTTTTTTATTCTGTGCGAGCGTTTACCTACCTATCACAGAAAATGTGTGACACACAAACAAACAAATGCACACACATAGACTCTCTTTCTCGCCATCTACCCTCCCCTCCTCTTTCTTTCATCTGTGACCACCAGTTAGACTGTCTCTACTGCTGCAGCCTCAGTGTGAAGGCTCATAACATCCCTTCATAGCAGCAGCAGCTGTATTTGTGTTGAGAGAGAGACAGAGTAATGCTCTGTAATGTGGTAATGAACATGATTAAGCTATTTACCCGCCTGAGAATGTAAAAGCATTAACCAGAGGCTGTTTGAATGAATATGATTATGGAGAAACAGAACACTTTCAAACACCACTCTGAACAGTGAGCAGAGACAGTGGAACAGCGGGACAAGAAGGATAGCTCAGAGAGGGAGAATGAGAAAGAGAGAGGGGGAATATTAGCAGGAAAGCACAGAATGGGAAAAGAAAGCACCAGAGATGGAAAAGGAGGCAGGACAACCCACATTTCCCACCAGCAGAAGACGAGGAAATCTAGGAATTCTGAGCTCCAGGGAACGTGATGAAGGGAGGGAGGGGTGGGAAATAAGGGTAGGGGGTGTGATGGGGTGGTTACTGGTCAGAACACAGCATGACATCTCCCAGCCGTGACCCATCACATTATCATACGCTTCATAGAGAGATGATAGATGAAAAGACTCTCTCTGCCTCATATCTATTGTATCAATGTGCCTCCTCCTAGAGTCCATCTCTGAATGTCTGTTTTGACTGAGATAGGAGAAGGAAATGGAGAGAGGGAGGGGGGGGATGTCGATAAGGCATTGTGATGCAATTGGTTTCATTTCAGCACTCTCTCTCTCTCTCTCTTTCTGCCTCTCTCTCTCCATATTGAGCTGTATTGGAGATGTCTGATGCCCTTTGGGCGAGAGAGAGAGAGAGAGAGAGAGAGAGAGAGAGAGAGAGAGAGAGAGAGAGAGAGAGAGAGAGAGAGAGAGAGAGAGAGAGAGAGATAGAGAGAGAGAGAGAGAGAGAGAGAGAGAGAGAGAGAGAGAGAGAGAGACAGTCGGGATGCACCATGTGGGGAGAAAGAGAGGGGGGAGTGGAGCTGACTAGTGCTGTGATGGCTGATGAGGTAGAGGGACCAACAGAGTCAAACTCCCCTGTCAGATAGATGCAACCTGAGGCTGCTTAGGAAAGAGGGAACAGAGGGAAGAGACCTGCCTCAGGTTATTTACGTCTCTCTGTCCATTCGGTAAAGAACAGACAATAACACAGCATGATGTCATAGCTCTTTGTCCAGGAATGTTCACATGCTGCTATGATGGTTAGTGTAACACAGTAGATGGATATTGAAGGGAAGGGAAGCCATGACTGTATTTATCATGCAGAGAGAGAATGGGTAGTGTGTCTGAGAGAGGTCTAGCCGACAGAGTGAGATCAATAACTCATTTAGATGATATAAGAAATTAGAAACGAAAACTGTATTTTTGTAACACAACATTATCATGTCCGATTATTTTTCTTCAATATCAAATCACCATAACATCAGGGGAATGTTTAATTGCTCTGTCTGTACTACACTAAGATAACAATCATGAGAATGTATGTTCAATTGTTTCCATACTGTGTGTAATACAGTGTGCAGCTTGGACCAGTGTACATAACATTACACACATTACATGCCACCATGACCCATCTGCAGCACACACACTGAGCATCAGCTGTGGGATGGGTGGGACAGCTGGACATGACACAGAACATCCAGACAACATCAGTACTTTATCATAAAAACCAAACAACCAACCAAACAGAATCTGGGCTCTGAACGATCATCCTCATTGGTCCTCTCACCTTTCAATCTCTCCGCCAGCAGTCCTGCCTCGTGGTCTGAGAAGTGCATGATGGGAGGTGGCGAGGGTGGTCGGAAGAAGTCTTCGTGGATCATCTGTCGGTGTCGTTCCTCCCTGGCCAGCAGCCTCTGTTGACATTCCCACTCATACAGGTCGTCTCTGGCCTGAGCAAAGTCCACATGCATCCTCCCTGAGTCCTTCTTATCTGTACTGGAGCCAATACGCATCCGGTAGCCTGGGGACACAGGGCATTTAGAGGTCAGATACACTAAACGCAACAATACAAAGACATTCAAAACACGTACACGTACACAGACACAAACATACATACTGTGGACAACTGATACAGTGCCTTGTAAACGTATTCATCCCCCTTGGCGTTTTTCCTATTTTGTTGCATTACAACCTGTAATTTAAATGGATTTTTATTTGGATTTCATGTAATGGACATACACAAAATAGTCCAAATTGGTGAAGTGAAATGAAAAAAATAACTTGTTTCAAGAAATTCTAAAAAATAAATAACGGAAAAGTGGTGCGTGCATATGTATTCACCCCCTTTGCTATGAAGCCCCTAAATAAGATCTGGTGCAACCAATTACCTTCAGAAGTCACATAATTAGTTAAATAAAGTCCACCTGTGTGCAATCTAAGTGTCACATGATCTGTCACATGATCTCAGTATACATACACCTGTTCTGAAAGACCCCAGAGTCTGCAACACCACTAAGCAAGGGGCACCACCAAGCAAGCGGCACCATGAAGACCAAGGAGCTCATCAAACAGATCAGGGTTGGGTTATAAAAAAATATCCGAAACGTTGAACATCCCACGGAGCACCATTAAATCCATTATTTAAAAATGGAAAGAATATGGCACCAAAACCTGCCAAGAGAGAGCCGCCCACCAAAACTCACAGACCAGGCAAGGAGGGCATTAATCAGAGAGGCAACAAAGAGACCAAAGATAACCCTGAAGGAGCTGCAAAGCTCCACAGCGGAGATTGGAGTATCTGTCTGTAGGACCACCGTACACTCCACAGAGCTGGGCTTTACTGAAGAGTGACCAAAAAAAGCCATTGCGTAAAGAAACAAATAAGAAAACACGTTTGGTGTTCACCAAAAGGCATGTGGGAGACTCCCCAAATATATGGAAGAAGGTACTCTGGTCAGATGACACTAGAATTGAGCTTTTTGGCCATCAAGGAAAACGCTATGTCTGGCGCAAACCCAACACCTCTCATCACCCCGAGAACACCATCCCCAAAGTGAAGGATGGTGGTGGCAGCATCATGCTGTGGGTATGTTTTTCATCGGCAGGGACTGGGAAACTGGTCAGAATTGAAGGAATGATGGATGGCGCTAAATACAGGGAAATTCTTGAGGGAAACCTGTTTCAGTCTTCCAGAGATTTGAAACTGGGACGGAGGTTCACCTTCCAGAAGGACAATGACCCTAAGCATACTGCTAAAGCAACACTCGAGTGGTTTAATGGGAAACATTTCAATGTCTTGGAATGGCCTGGTCAAAGCCCAGACCTCAATCCAATTGAGAATCTGTGGTATGACTTAAAGATTGCTGTACACCAGCGGAACCCATCCAACTTGAAGGAGCTGGAGCAGATTTGCCTTGAAGAATGGGCAAAAATCCCAGTGACTAGATGTGCCAAGCTTATAGAGACATACCCCAAGAGACTTGCAGCTGTAATTGCTGCAAAAGGTGGCTCTACAAAGTATTGACTTTGGGGGGGTGAATAGTAATGTATGCTCAAGTTTTCAGTTTTTTTGTCTTATTTCTTGTTTGTTTCACAAGAAAAAATATTGTGCATCTTCAAAGTGATAGGCATGTTGTGTAAATCAAATGATACAAACCCCCAAAAAATCAATTTTAATTCCAGGTTGTAAGGCAACAAAATAGGAAAAATGCCAAGAGGGGTGAATACTTTCGCAAGCCACTGTATATACAGTCATGTAAACTCATACTCCCACAGTCAGATACACTCAAAGTATACAGTATTTCAAATGCCTACATTCTATACCCCACGTACCACCACAAAGATCATTAGCAAACCAAAAGGACAAACTTTACATTTTCAACTATTCATAATGCTAAAATATTCATCTATTCCTCCTCATCAATAGGCACACCTCCAGCCTGCATAGCTACAGTCTATTTCTGCTCCTGTCTTGGCGTAACGGCTTTAAGTGACACAAGGTCACTGTTTTTACTCCTCTACAGTGTTCATATCATTAATACATATTCTATTAAAAAGGAATACTTAAAAACTGCTGCAAATACATAGTTATGCTGACCACTGACCAGAGACGTAGAGCATCTCGTTTGTATCTTGTGTGTATAGTATAGCATTTGCGTAGTATAGTATTTGTATAGTAAAGTAAAGTAAAGTATAGTATAGTATAGTATAGTATAGTATAGTATAGTATAGTATAGTATAGTATAGTATAGTACTGACCGGAGAGGTATAGGGACTTGTCCACCATGAACTCCTCACTGAAGCGGATGTGACAGAAGTTCTTCTTGCTCTTCCTGATGGCGATGATCTCACCACACTGATCAAACACCTCCCTGATGATCTCCTCGCTGGCGTTCTCCGGCAGACCCCCGACAAACACTGTCTTACACCCTGGGGGCCGCTCCCGCGTTGACGGAGGAGGCAGGTCTGGAACAACATGCATGCTCAGGTCACATCTGGTGACAATTCTTGTGACTACAGTCCATATATGAACGTATTTATATTAATTTAGATGGAAAGGATAGAAAAGCATGCAAGTGTGTGTGTGTGTGTGTGTGTGTGTGTGTGTGTGTGTGTGTGTGTGTGTGTGTGTGTGTGTGTGTGTGTGTGTGTGTGTGTGTGTGTGTGTGTGTGTGTGTGTGTGTGTGCGCGCGCATGGGTGGACGTGTTTAACTATACAAGAATATCAGACAAACAAACATTTGACCAACTAGGGACATTTTCTTAGTCCCCACAAGGTCAAATGCTATTTCTAGGGAGTTTAGGGTTAAGGTTAGGGTTAGAGTAAGGGTAAGGGTAAGGGTACAGGTTAGGTTTAGGGTTAGGGGTTAGGATTTGTGTGTCCCCACAACGTTAGTTGTACAAGACAGTGTGTGTGTTGGTGTGTGTGAGTCTTACTGGGGTTCTGGGGGAACAGGGTGCAGCTCTGGCAGTGGATGATCTCCTTGATGACGGGGGGACCAGGCGGAGGAGGGACCAGGCTGATACCTGCCATCATGGGGTTGATGGGAGCTAGGAGACCCAGCCCTGGATCAAAACCCTGGATACAGATAGAATCTGGAGGAGAGAGATAGGAGAAGAAGAGTTAGTCTGGAGGAGAGGAGAGGACGAGAGGGGAGGAGGAGGGGAGGGGGGAGAGAGAGTTGAGAGGAGAGGAGAGGAGCAATGAGACCCAGCCCTGGTTTAAAGGCTTGGATACAGGTAAAGTATGAAGGGGAGAGAGAGGAGAGAGAGAGAGAGAGAGAGCGAGAGAGATGTACTTATTAATATCTTCAGAACTGAACATGATGAGACTGGGAGAATGGACAAGACAGAAATCTCCCTGGCTGCTTGTCTCAGGCCCTATACAATCACACAGGGTCTGAGAGAGAGAACAGACACTGATCTACCTTAGAGTAGAATCCAATCTGACTGCAGCTGTCACACAAGCCTGTCACTACTGTGAGGATACAGATATAAATATTAGAATGTAGAATTGCAACTTCATATTTATGAAATCATCAATCAAGTCCTCACTGCAGATATGAGTTTGTCAGCAAAGGTGAGTGTGAAGAGCGCATGTGTAGGAGGGAGACTGATTCTATGTGATGCTGTCAGAAAGATTCCAGTGCTCAATATGTCTCTACTATCCTAAGAGGCTGCAAAGCAAAGAATCACTTCTACTGGCTGTGTCTGGCGAAGCCTCGAAGAGAAAGCGTCTAGTGTTGCGAAGCCAAGTGTGTTTTATTACAGAGAAGGAGTTTTTAAGAGGAGCTGCAAATCATTGAGGCTGGAGAGAGAAGAGAGAGAGAGAAAATATATCTGGAAGATTATCTCACATAAATATCCTGAGTCACAATCATGAATAATCTGAGATTGTGTGGATCTGTGGAAAACTCATTAAAATGTTCACTGTGATGATCTGAACAGGTAAATGACGTCTCCTCTCCCCACATTCATCATCCACTAATGCTGTTTCTCTTTTCCTCGCTTTCTTCTGCACTTTTCTTTTACCCTCCTGGTGAAAATAATTCAAGGCCGTTAGTTTTCCTCATTGGCCCTGGCCACGCTCTGTTACGTCTGCCAGTGGGAGAGAGTTCATCTCCCTGGCCCCTCTGTTACGTCTGCCAGGGGGAGAGAGTTCACCTCCTTGCCAGGGGAGAGAGTTCACCTCCCCGGCCCCTCTGTTACGTCTGCTGGGGGAGATAGTTCACCTTCCCGGCCCCTCTGTTACGTCTGCAAGGGGGAGAGAGTTCACCTCCCCGGCCCCTCTGTTACGTCTGCCGGGGGAGAGAGTTCACCTCCCTGCCGGGGGAGAGAGTTCCCCTCCCTGCTGGGGGAGAGAGTTCAACTCCCCGGCCCCTCTGTTATGTCTGCCAGGGGGAGAGAGTTCATCTCCCCGGCCCCTCTGTTACGTTTGCCAGGGGGAGAGAGTTCATCTCCCCGGCCCCTCTGTTACGTTTGCCAGGGGGAGATAGTTCACCTCCCCGGCCCCTCTGTTACGTCTGCCAGTGGGAGAGAGTTCACTTCCCCGGCTCCTCTGTTACGTCTGCCAGGGGGAGAGAGTTCACACTTTGTTTATTTGTCATTGTTTAATTTCTCTCTTTCTTTTCCTCTCCTCCCTCCCTCTCTCCCTCCCTCCCTCCCTCTGTTCTCACCCTCTACTCTGCAGGTTTGTGTGTACGGCTGGACGCTGGTTCACTGGGCTCTGGATCTCCCCTCAGGAAACAGCTGCTCGTAATTACAGTGAAGGTGAGACATCATCCATCACATACTCTATAACCCCCATTATCTTTCTCCTCCTCTTCTCCCTCACTCTCTTCTCTTTCCCTTCCCTCTCTCTCCCCCAGTCTCTCTTTCCCTCTCTCTTTTCTCGCTCTTATTTCAGTTCTCTCTCTCTCTCTCTCTCTCTTTTGGAGCTGAGGTCTGTGCTCCAGGAGGATATCAGTATTAATCTGTCTTTTCCTTGGCTCTGAGGAGGGCGGATCCAGTCCAGCTGTCCAGCCGTCCCTGCTGTCTCTCAGCTCATTAAGGAGGAGAAGGACTGTACAGTACTGACCCAATGGAACTACAGTGACGATGGGCCGCTCTGCTTCTTTCCTTCCCTCCATTCCTGAAGTAATCCCAGATCTGAGAGGGTTGGATAGCTGAAACCAATCAAATCAACCAGTCAAACTCTGCCTTGACTTGCGGGACGGTTGACCTAATGTGCGCAAATGTGATTAGCATGACTGTTGTAAGTAACTGCAAACGTTCCAGGACATAGACATGTCCTATATGGGCAGAAAGATTCTTGTTAATCTAACTGCACTGTCCAATTTACAGTAGCTATTACAGTGAAAAGATACCATGCTATTGTTTGAGGAGAGTGCACAACAACAAAAAACTTATCATGGCAACTGGTTTGATACATTCACCTCTGAAGGTAAAGAATGTACTTACATTCAGTAATCTTGCCCTGATTTGTCATCCTATGGGTCCCAGAGATAAAATGTAGCATAGTTTTGTTTGATAAAATCCATTTTTATATTCAAATGTAGGAACTGTGTTCTATAGTTTGAACCCCTGCTGTCTCTGGCTCCACACCCACCCCGCCCGGCCATCTAGATGTGTGAAAGTTAGTGTATAAGCTAATGATCCATCATGTATGACATTCCTGGGAGTGTGTAAACTTACATTTTGTATTACCATATAATTTTTGTATGTTCTCTATAGTTTTGTACTTGAAAATGTATCAATTGATCAATTTGGCACATTTGGGCAGACTTGATACAAAATAGTCCAGTATTGCAATGCTTCACTGGATCAATCTGAAACTTTGGAAACACACTGCTGCCATCTAGTGGCCAACATCTAGATTGCGCCTAAACTGCAATATTATATTGTGGCCTTTCCCTTGCATTTCAAAATGATGGAAGAAAAAAAATGTCATGTTTTTTGGTTTGTATTATCTTTTACTAAATCTAATGTGTTATATTCTCCTATATTAATTTCACATTTCCACAAACTTCAAAGTGTTTCCTTTCAAATGGTATCAAGGATATGCATATCCTTGCTTCAGGTCCTGAGCTACAGGCAGTTAGATTTGGGTATGTCATTTTAGTCGAAAATTGAAAAAAGGGTCCGATCCTTAAGAGGTTAATGCAGTGATCTTTTCCCCCCCAGTGAAATAATAGTCCTATATACACAGCTTCATATTACAATAGATTTTCTCCATACAACTCTCAGCTTTCCTGAGTTAAATCCATGTATTCAGTTATTCAGGGATTACACAAACTCAGCCTCCAAATCTCCTTCTGTGCTCATTTAATGAACCTCACAATGCAGCTCTCACAATGACATCTAAGAGCGCAACGATGCTGCTACATATAGGTACTGAACAAATTGGAACTATCCAAATCCTTATAGAAAATGATTTTGCTAATGGATTTCATGAAACAAATAAAATGGTAAAGCACCTGTACATTTGAAGGAACTTTGCGTTTTTAATATAAATCCATAACTGAAAACATAATAGCAGTGAGATCAGTGTGGTTACATTTCAACCACAGACTCACTAGGGATCATGACAGAGGCCCAGACTATACGTTCCCAACATTTATAGTATGACATATATTCCATATAACAGTCCATAGAGTGGTTTATTTTGTTATAGACTTGAATAACATTAGAGAGGACTGAGAGCAAAACGTACATATTTATTAGAACCAGATGTTGGTGACATTTTCAAGCTGAGTGTTTTTCCAGCCCTGTCCTCCTTAGCTGTTGTAACAGTCTTAATGGTCTGAAAGAACCTCACTCGGCTAGTTCTCACAGTGTGTCTGTGTGTGTGTATTTGCGTGCGTGCGAATCACTGTCTTCCAGTCCTATCCACTTTATACATAATAATAATGTTATTGGTCTGGAAGAATCTGTTAGTTCTCAAAGGCCTTAGTGTGACTGGGTCCTCTTTGAAGTGCCCAAACCCTGTGTGCATGTGTGGGGTTGTACATGTGTGAGGTTGTACATATGTGTAGGCAAAAACATCATCCAGTGAAAAGAACCTGAGGAATTTTTTCCCAGCAAGAATCTATTAAGCTCAGCTAATCATCCTGAAGCTCAGTCAGGACTGATTTCCCAGACCTCTCAACACCAAATATACAATTCAAATGACCTTCCATGCCTACTTATGACAATTACATAAATATGCATGATCTGAAACCTGCTCATGAATTTTTAAATCAGCCGGATTTCTCTCTATCCTCGCTGGCTACGCTGTCAAAATGATAAAAACAATTGGATGCACACACACACCCTATTAGCATCAGCGGAGAGACAGACATGTAGTCAGGCCATTAGAAAAGAGAGCAGGGAGATTTTCTTTGTATTGTTCCTATCCTCAGTCAGTCTCTCTGCGGGGACGGAACAACGTCTACTTAATAATGTCGTATCTAGCTGCTGATGGGGACACAACAATTAGAACCATGACATTGGGCTATTGACTAAGGAATTGTCAACTGAATCTGAATTGTTGTGATTATTGGTGCTGATTGTCAAAAGACAAATGGTAGAGGCTGTGGGAGTTGACTTGTGATATACACACAATCTTAAGGTCCTATCTTAAGTCCTTAGGTCTAACCTGTATAAAGGTGAATATTGTATTATAAGAAAACAAAGGGGATTGTATGCACCAGAATTCTGTCTCAGCACACTAACCTCCTCAAACTATACTAGAACACAGTTTTACATAGAATAACACTTCTGCTGCCCAGTAAAGGGATTGGCAGCGCTGGTTTTGGCAGAGCATGCTGCATTCTGGATTCCCTGCCACAGGGGTATAGGCTAAAGTATCTATCTAGTTTTAGGGTAATCATTGACTGGCCTGCCCTGAGTAGGTGGAGTTGTGGAGGTGATAGAGTAGTAGGATGCCACCATAGGGGCTCTTGATGGAAGTGCCCAGTTCACCTGATGCCTTTACGATCTTCTCAAACGTTTCAAAACATAGTCCATGGGGACTCTTTCCATTCTTATGGCCTCGACAATATTGAGAAATTAGAATGAAGAGTTTGTTAGCAGAGGAAAGGGGGATAAGGGAGGAGGGTGAGGATGATGAGAAGGGGTGAGAAGGAGGCCTAATGCCCTACCTGAGACCAGCTGCTGCCCGCTGAGGCCCATGGGTACGATGCCCAGGTTGTTCATGGCGGTGGCCCAGGCTCCGTGGTCGTTCACCACGTGGTCATGGACACTGAGGTGCTGCTCCACCCCCAGGCTCCTCAGGCTCCCTACACCATCTGCTGCTGCAGGGGACAGGAGAAACAGGAGGGTTAGGAGGAGGAAGGAGAAGAGACCAGAGATGTAGTTTACATATTAGTGAAGGTGTAGTAGTCAGTGTTACAGTACGTACCGCTGGCCATAGCAGGCCCTGTGTGCTCCTCTCTCTGGCTCTACCTCTGAGAGTTCTCATCAGAACCACAGCTCCCTCAGGCTGCACACCAGACCAGACCAGACCAGACCAGGACAGGACGGAGGGATGAGGAGAAGGATAGTTGGATGGAGGGACGGAGGACTCTCCCAGTTAGAGACAGGATCCCATCTACCCTCTGCTAAACCCTGGGGAAGAAAAAGAGAGCAGTTCAGTAAAGCAGCTTAAATCAATGTTTTTCAATCAAACCATTGCAGCTTAAGATAGCATTAGAACAACACAATCAGAAATACATTGTTACTGATGTCCTATTTCCGCCCACACAGAGACAACCACGCACACATGTACACAGCAGTACATTAAGCGTTTCAGTCTTTATAGCTCCCCCTCCCCCCTTCCCCCTCTCTCTCTCTCCCCCTCCCCCTCTCTCTCTCTCCCCCCCTCTCTCTCTCTCTACAGAGGGTTGTGTGGACAGCCCAGTACATCACTGAGGCCAAGTTCCCTGCCATTGTTGTGGAAAAAAATCACTATACTTTATCAAAAATCAAAGTTCTTCCAGAGTTTTTGTAGAATCAAGAATGACTTTATTACAATTTCAACAAAGCCAGGCTAATCTTCAGATTAGGCCCCCTCTCGCTCTCTCTTCCCTAGCTATATAGTCTCCTTCACACACTAAAATCCCTCCCTCTTCAGTTTCCCGCTCTTTATCGCTCCGCCCACTTCCTTTGTCTATGATGGCAACTAAATTAGACTTTCATTCAGTTCAGAATCAATAGTAATACAATCAATCAATCCCTTATCTTGCAAAAACACTCATGTTTAGTTTAAACTCTGTTCAACCCCGGCTCTCCCGGGCTTGACCTGAAGACTGATTGTTGAATATGACAGGTCCATACTTAAATCTTTCAAATATACACAAACCCCACCCCATCTTGCTGTAATCAATCAAGAAAATAGCCCAGGAGAGACAAAGGTTTAGTCTGAACTCTGTCCAACCCTGGCCGCTATTTCCACTTTGTTTGAGGAGAGAGGCAAAAGGCCACAGTCTGGTTTCAGTCTCTGATAAAGTAGGACAGCCATGGATTTAAGTAAGAGCGAGCCTTTCGACCCTAGGTCAGATTCCCACTTCACCCACACACACACAGTGAAATGACCCAATTAAGTTATTTGCCTAGCAACAAAGAATTCTAACTCTATGTTCGTGATTAACCCAGTTTTATCGCATAGTCCACTAAAAAATCTCCATCACCATCCAGGACCTCTATATCAGGCGGTGTGAAAAGAAGGCCCGGAAAAATCGTCAAAGTCTCCAACCACCCAAGACACTATTTTCTCTGCTGCCGCACGGCAAGAGGTACCGCTGCATCAAGTCTGACACCAACAGGCTCTTGAACAGCTTCTATCCCCAAGCAATACGACTGATAAATAGCTAACAAAATATCTACACGGACTATCTGAGTTAACCTTGTATCTTTATTAACCTTTTATATCAATCTTTGCGCTGTCGCTATGCACACTCACAGTGCCCTACACACTCACACACACACTGTCACTCCAACACACACACAAACACTCACTCCATCATTTTCTCACTCACACATAATATGCGCAGACATTTATACTGACTCTACACACCCACACACCCACTCACATACAAGCTGCTGCTACTCTGTTCATAAAATCAAATGTATTTATAAATCAAATTAAATGTATTTATAAAGCCCTTTTTACATCAGCAGATGTCACAAAGTGCTATACAGACCCAGCCTAAAACCCCAAACAGAAAGCAATGCAGATGTAGAAGCACGGTGGCTAGGAAAAACTCCCTTATCTTATATCCTGTTGCCTAGTCCCCTTACCCCTATACATATCTACCTCCATCACTCCAGTATCCCTGCACATGTAAATATGGTATTGAAACTGACTTTAAATATTTCCTGTATATAGTATGCTTACTTACTTACTTTATTGTGTATTTCATATTTCCTATTCTTATTTAATGTGTGTTTTTTTCTAGTAATACATTGTTATTGTTATTGATTATTGCGTTGTTGGGTTTTGAGTTTTGCAAGAAAAGCATTTCATTGTACTTGTGCATGTGACATTAAAACTGTCACGGATTCTGCCGAGGCTGCTCCTCCTCCTTGCTCGGGCAGGCTTCGGCGTTCGTCGTCCCCGGAGTACTAGCTACTGCCGATCGATGTTTTCGGTGTTTGTCTTGTGTTGTCTAGTTAGTACACCTGTTGCATATTAGTGTTGATTGTGTAGCATATAAGTTCCCTTGTTTTACGTTTGGGCTTTGTGTGTTATTGTTCATTGTCTTGTTGATGTTCGGCCTAGCTACTACTTCGGATTACGCATATGGTGTTTTTCCCTCCAGTGTTGGAGACGTTTGTTTTGTGCGTAACGCTCAGTAAAGTAGTCAACCTGATTCTCTGTGTCCTGCGTCTGACTTCACTCGCCGCGTACACATCACCTCCTGACAAAAACTTGAAACTTGAAACTCTCTCACACTCTCATTCACACACACCTCCAAAACGAGACCCAGCTGACCAGCCACTCAGTTGCCATGACATCACATGTTATCCTGCTTTCTGTCAAATTTCTTATGGGGTGTGTCAGTGATGACCTTTAACCCCTAACCCTCCCACCTAATTACACACTCCCAACAGCCCCAGCCACAGGCATACTGTCATCTTTAAAATCAATGGTTTTGATTAGGAAAGTCCCATTTGCCTGTGAAATCTGCCAGAATTCTGATTGATCCCTGACTAACACAATGAGGTCATTTAGGAATGTGACCCTCTACAGTAAGTCAATGAACACAGGACTCTAAAGAGGATTCTATTCCATCAACATAATGAACCACCAGTTCTTCAAGGAAAGGCTTAATAGCATTCTGTCCATGGTGTGAAAAAGCAGTTGAGATCCTATTCCATATTTCCTGTTACAAAGCTTGTTGTTCTCTGTGTGGTTTCCTAAGGGGCTGTAGTTAGCTGCAGTGTGATCTGTATTCCTGTCACGCCTCCTCCGTCATCTCAGACCACTCCCGCAGTAATTATCATTATTCAACTCTGACACCAGGAAATTAAGTCAGCGACGCTACACCATCCAGACGTAATTAAGACACAATCATATGAATAGTTTTTCATTAACAACAGTTCCCTTCCTTCAAATAGCTTTGGGATGCGAGGCCCGTTTCTGAAACTTTTCTCCTCACTAGGGTAACAAACAGTTATTTTTGGAGTTACCTGCTGTATGTCAACACATTACTGTGTTTTCAGGCTGATAGGACCTGCCACTGTTCTCATCACAAGCACATTAAACACTGAGCAGTGCTAGGAATATTAATGGCACACAGACACACAGCGGAAGTAGAATTACAATCAGGCCCATAAGGGACGTAGATGAATTTCGGGATTGTGAAAACAAGTCATTGTGAGGACAGTTCCACAGTTGTCTTATAATATCTGATAACATCTTATTACAGCTTATAACTCCAGTCATGGTCAGGTATGAGGCCTATGTCATTGTTGTGACTCTGGGCTTTTAGCAGCATCAGCCCAGTCCAGAGCCTAACTACACTGAACAGCTCTATACACAGTAACCACTATCCTGTATACTGTTCCTATCCATAGACAATCATGTATCCAATGGGCCACAGCAAACATCTACTCTACTATCACACGGGGGGCAAACACTAGGCTAGATTTTCTCCTCCACTGTCTGTCTTTCGGCGCTTCTTCTCTCCCTCCCTCCCTCCCTCTCGTTCTTTCTCTTTCTCTCTATCTCTCCAGGGGGTGCCAGCGTGATTCTGAGTAGTGAGGTAATGTAGCATCACAAACATAAAGATATGCACTCCCCTCTCTCCCCCCTCTCTCTCGCTTCCCACTGCTCCTGTTCTCTCTCTCCTCTCCCCCGTCTTCACTGCAGCCTGATGGAACAGTTTAGCCTCCTGACAAGTGACAAGGCTGTTTCTCTTCACCCCTCTCCATCATCCCCCTCTCTCTCTGTCAAACCTCCTCTCCGCTCCCTCGATCCCTCCCCACTCTCTCTGTCAAACCTCTCTTCTCGCTCCATCCCTCCCTCTCTCTGCCAAACCTCCTCTCCGCTCCCTCGATCCCTCCCCCCTCTCTCTGTCAAACCTCTCTTCTCGCTCCATCCCTCCCTCTCTCTGTCAAACCTCTCTTCTCGCTCCATCCCTCCCTCTCTCTGTCAAACCTCTCTTCTCGCTCCATCCCTCCCTCTCTCTGTCAAACCTCTCTTCTCGCTCCATCCCTCCCTCTCTCTGTCAAACCTCTCTTCTCGCTCCATCCCTCCCTCTCTCTGCCAAACCTCCTCTCCTCTCCCTCTAACCCCCCTACTCTGTACACTCCTCCACCTCCTCTCTCCATCGCACATCCCTCTTCTTCTGTACACTCTCCCTCATTCCCTAACCCCTTCTCTCCCTCCGATCTTTCATCTTCCTCCTCTCCTCCTCTCTCTTCTTCCTTTCCTTCTCTCTCATGGTTGTCCGTAGATATCCAACCCCGCCCAGTATTTCTTCTCACTTTCACACAGCATGAAATATTCACAGCAGAATGCGTGTCCTGTTCATTATTCAGGAGCTCACTTGACATCTCTGAATCTTTCACACACAGGCGCCGCATCACTCAGACCTGGAACCGCTGGGCACAAACACACACACACACACACACACACACACACACACACACACACACACACACACACACACACACACACACACACAGAGAGACACACAACAATACATACACACACTCAGGAAACACAACAATATACCCACATTGAACACAAGCATGAAGGACAGCAGGCAAACGTTATAGGGAAAAGGTAAACATTTCCAGGACAGAGGACGGCTCTGTTCCAAGCTGAATGTAGCATACTACATAGAATGAATCCATGTACTGGGCATGCATCCTAAGTGGTATGCTAGTATGAATAGGATGGACATACCCTAGGTAAATGTTAGTAACAGGACAGTGTGGTAGCGGGAGAGAGATCTAAATGTGCTCCACATACTGTATGTGGCTGGTGCTTATCAGGCCCAAATGTTAAACAGGATGTCCATATCTAAGAATAAAAAAACATTTATGAATCAACATTAGAGTTATAAGCTTCTCACTTGTTTCAAACAGATTTGATTCCACAGAAGTGAGAAACTCCAATATGTGTCCAGCTGAATTCTCTTTGCTGTCTTGGGCAGTTCATCAAAAATATCAGAGGAAAAAGATCTCCGTCTCTCACTTCATCTATCACCATAATATTTTAGGTAACTTTTACTACTGACTTTAACATTTCAATCTTTTCCTTTTACATTGACACATTTCTTTGAGAAGACATTGAAAAAACCCTAACCCATGAGCATGAATGGTTCACTTCAGCCCAACACCCCACTGCAACACACAGCTAATTTCACACGCCATATATATGCTCATATGCCCTGTCACACACCAATTTCAGCAGTTAAATATTTTACTGACACCAGTGCATATCATGCTATCCCTCTAACACTGTCTGTGAGGGGTTCATAATGCCTCATAAATATATTGATAACACATAATAACACACAGGATGCACAGGAAGTGTCAGAGAAAACACTCCTGTGCTAACACACACTTCTATCACACACTCGTAACTCAACTTCTGCCAATTTTCTTTTTTTTGTACATTTATTGAAAGCAGTAACTCCCCTCAATGTACTCTGAACATTTCATTACTCTATGACCAAGAAAATCGTGACTCTATTCAAAATAGCTTCTGAAGTTTCATAATTGTATGAAACGTTAAAGGGAAATACGGTCATTTTTTCAATTTCCTGACAAGTTTCGGTTTTGGAGATAAGAGGTTTTCACCCGACAGCGATGTTATATTAGCTCACATTAACCCTCAGCACAGGAGTGTCACGATTCAGACAGACGACCAGAGGACCACAATTGCGTCACACCAGAAAGTTTATTAAACTTAAGGGAAAAGGGAAGTAGGGAGTGAAATGAAGGCTCCAGGGGTAACAGGGATCCCGTCCAATGTGCTGGGTCTGTGCCCCCCCCAGTGGCAGCGATGCGTCCTATGAAGCCGGTGGTGGGTGGTCCAGAAGTCCTGGGGGGGGGGGAGACACAGACACAACAGGGCGGAATGAAACAAGGCAGCAGTACAGTTCAGGGGAAATCCAATATACGTAGTAGCAAGGCAGAAGGCTGGTCAGAGTTACCGGGATTGAAGAGTAGTCAGGAGTCGTAATGGCAGAAGCAGGTCTGGATCTCCTGAGGCAGAAGAGTATCCAAAAAACAGGCAGGTCCGGGGTCACAAAACCAGGGTGAGCCAGAAGCGCGAGCAAACAGGTTCCGGGTGTGAGCTTTGCAGACGATCTGACACCGGAGAGCTGAAAGACAGGGCCTTAAATACTGGGAGAGGTTAGTGGGTAATGCAGCGCAGCTGGCAGAGTAATTAGAGCCGAGCAGAGCAGGGACAGGTGGAGCTAGTTAGGCTGAGTAGAGAGAGAGTGGTGAGCAGAGTGGAAGATAGTGGAAACAAATTAAGGTGGTAACCCGGTGGAGTGAGAGGGCTCATGACAGAACCCCCCCCCCAAGGGACGGCCCCAGAAGTCCCAAGAGCAACACCACGCCGGGCGGGAGGAGGGGAGCCGGAGGAGGGCTAGAACTCCTCCGAACGGTCCGAGTGAACGTCCTCATCCTCGGAGGAAGCCGGAGGGCCGTGGTCGGGAGATGGGACAGGTCCCGAGACAGGATCAGGCACAGGACAGGAAGCCGAGCGGGCAGGACGGTTAGGGACCCCTCTGGGGCGGCCCCTACGGATTGCAGGTTGATCAGGATGCCGTTGGTGGAAAGCGGTGATGAGAGTCCTATCCACAATCCGACTAGCTGGCACCCAGGTCCTTTCCTCAGGTCCATAGCCCTCCCAGTCAATGAGGTACTGGAGACCCCTACCCCTCCGTCTGGACCGAAGCAGGCGGCGGACGGTGTAAACCAGACCACCATCGACGAGCCGTGGAGGAGGAGGACCAGGCGCCGCAGGGACCAGCGGACTCTCATGGATGGGCTTAATCTTAGACACATGGAAAGTGGGGTGCACCCTCAGGGAATTAGGCAGTTGGAGCCGGACAGCAGTTGGGCTAATCACTCTTATGATAGGGAATGGGCCAATGAACCGAGGTGCCAGCTTCTGCGACTCCACCCTGAGTGGCAGGTTCTTCGATGACAACCACACCCTTTGACCAACATGGTAGGTGGGAGCAGGAATTCTCCGACGGTTGGCCCCGGTAGTGTAGCTGGCAACGGATCTGAGGAGTGTGGCTCGGGCTTGTGACCAGGTGCGGCGACATCGACGGGCAAAAGCAAGTGCAGATGGGCAAGTAACCTCCTCTTCCTGGCTGGCAAATAGAGGAGGCTGGTATCCATAAACACATTGGAAAGGGGACATACCGATGGCAGAGCAGGTCAGAGAATTGTGTGCGTACTCCACCCATGTCAATTGCTGCGACCAGGAGTGGGGGTTGCGTGAAGTCATGCATCGCAGTGCCTTCTCGAGCTCCTGATTAGCCCGCTCTGACTGCCCATTGGATTGGGGATGGAATCCGGAAGTCAGACTGACTGTGGCTCCCAGCAGGTGACAGAACTCCTTCCAAAAAGCGGAGGAGAATTGTGGACCACGGTCAGAAACTACATCCCTTGGCAGTCCGTGGATCCGGAAGACGTGTTCCAGGACCACCTGGGCGGTCTCCTTGGCGGTTGGGAGCTTGGGGAGGGGAATGAAGTGTGCCATCTTGCTGAAACGGTCAACGATGGTGAGAATGACGGTCATGCCCCTTGAAGGGGGCAGCCCCGTGACAAAGTCAAGGGCGATGTGAGACCAGGGACGTCTGGGCACAGGCAGGGGCTGCAGCAATCCGGCTGGGGGCTGGCAGGACGACTTGTGTTGGTTGCAGATGGGGCAGGCTTGGACGAATTCCCGTACATCCTTCCTCAGAGAGGGCCACCAGAACCTCTGGGCGAGCAGGTTGTAAGTGCGGGTGGAGCCAGGGTGACAAGCTAGGCGGGAGTCATGTCCCCACTGAACGACCTGGGACCTCAGGTCTTCGGGGACAAAAAGGCGGTCAGCTGGGCAGGTGCTGGGACCTGGCTGGTTACGGAGAGCCTCCAGCACCTGTTCCTCAACAGCCCAGGTCAGAGCTGCAACGATGCAGGGACTTGGCAGAATCGACACAGGGTCCTTGGAGGGGGTGTCATCCTTCTGGAATTGACGGGAGAGGGCGTCTGGCTTGGTGTTGCGTGATCCAGGCCGGTATGACAGAGTGAAATTAAACCTGGTGAAGAACAGGGCCCAGCGGGACTGCCTGGAGTTCAACCGTTTGGCCGTGCGGATGTACTCCAAGTTCTTATGATCGGTCCAAACGAGAAATGGAATGGTGGACCCCTCCAGCCAGTGACGCCACTCCTCCAAGGCAAGCTTCACAGCCAGCAGCTCACGGTTCCCTATGTCGTAATTGCACTCAGAGGGGGACAACCGACGTGAGAAAAAGGCACAGGGATGGAGCTTCCTATCCTCCGCAGCCCACTGAGAAATCACAGCACCAACTCCCACATCCGAGGCGTCCACCTCCACAATGAATTGCCGGTCCACATCAGGCATCTGGAGGATGGGAGCGGAGGTGAACCTCACCTTGAGGGTACTGAAGGCTTTGTCGGCTGCTGGGGTCCAGGTGAAGGGTTGCTTGGTGCTGGTTAGAGCAGTGAGAGGGGCAGCAACGGTACTGTAGTTCCGGATAAACTTCCTATAGAAGTTAGCAAACCCCAGAAACTGTTGCAGCTTCTTTCTGTTCTCCGGAACTGGCCATGAAGTGACTGCTGATACTTTGGCAGGATCCATTTGGATACTTCCCTCTGCCACTATGTACCCCAGGAAGGCCACTGTCTTGACGTGAAACTCACATTTCTCTGCCTTGGCGTAGAGGGAATTCTCCAGAAGACGATGAAGGACTTGCTGGACATGGCGGGTGTGTTCAGACAGGTCTCTGGAGTAGATTAAGATGTCATCTAGGTAAACGAAGACAAACTTGTTTAACATGTCCCGCAGGACATCATTCACTAGAGCCTGGAACACAGCAGGAGCATTGGTGAGGCCAAAAGGCATAACCAGATACTCGTAGTGGCCTGTTGGTGTAT